AGTGTGGCAGTGGGGGTTGGAGGTGATTACTGGAGCAATTAAACGTAATGGATTTGCGAGACATTCTCATGGCAGGATTGCTAGTATTTGTTGGCTACTTCCATGAGAAAACCAACATGGAAAAGTGGCAAATGGACCCAGTGTTTCTCGTACAGTAGGTTGTCTTTGTTAGGATGGGGGTGTTATGGAAAGGCAGCATTCCATTTTGGAACCAATCTTGCATGACAAATGACCCACATGGACACAGTACGCAGATAGTTGAAAACAGATCTCTGCTTTGGAGAAACTTCTCAGGACTGAGAAAATGGATTTTAGTGTCTTTGACATTGAAACTGTGAGGACCTCCCTTATTTGAGGTTATAAATTGTTAAATATACCAAAGGCAACATGGGGAGTGGGAGAGAAACAAATGTGCTTTCAGTATCACCTAGAAACCAGCAAAATTTTCCAGAGATGGAGGAACTAGCAACTGCAATCCCAGCAGTTTAACCATCTAATGCTCTAAGAGGCTTCCAAAAACTCATAAAAAGTGGAAACATTTTCATTCTGATCGGACTGAGAAAATATGTTGGCCACCTGTCCAGAATATTACAAACAGTGAAATTCCAGACTATGTGCTATTAATGATATGCTCAGCTAATATGCACAAAATCCTTAAACTCAAGAATACCCCAGATACTTTCAGTGCTTGGATTTTAGTTCTGGCTTTCACTAGTAACAGCTTTAATGTGAAAATCTTTTTTGTTGGCTTTTGTTGTTGTTGTTAATATTACTTGAATGACAGAGAGAGAGAGGAGAGCCTGATCTCTCAGCTGCTAGTTCATGATCTAAGGAGCCGCAAGGCCAGGGCCAGTCCAGACTGAAGGCAGGAGCGTGGAACTTCATCCAGGCTCCTGCATGGATGGCAGTAGGCCACATACTTGGGCCATCTTCTGTGACTTACTCTGCTATAGCACAGCTCTGTTCCACTAACAACTTCTTAATCTCTATGATCACTAACTTAACTCATATTTATTTTTTTAAAAATCAGCTTTAATGGGCCTGGCGCCGTGGCCTAGCAGCTAAAGTCCTCACCTTGAATGCGCCAGGATCCCATATGGGCACCAGTTCTAATCCATGTATAGTAAATTTTAAAGTGACCACAGATTATTAAAACTACAGTAATACAGCATTCTTAACCATTGGTTTGACAAAGATATAAAACAGTTTTACAAAATCATATTTGCAACAATTCTGATTTTTTTTTGTTTGAAATTTTAGCTCCCACATATATGGGAAATGCATGCGGTATTTGACATGGAAATTTAAAACAGATTTACATTCAAGAGCAAATCCTGAAACAATGATTCGTGTTCCCCAGACCCGCGCCTCCTCCCTCCGGGCCAGCAGAGGGCTGCGGATGCCTTCCCAGTTGCAGGTGAGGGTAGCTCATCCCTGGGCGTCCCTGGGCAGTGGCATGCCCCGTGCCCTCTGCTTCCTTTAGGAGTGGCTCATCAAGGACATGCCCGGAACGCCCACGAACTTTACCTGGGCCGGTTCTCCAACTGACCAGGCTGGGAACCTCAGGTCTGATGACCCTCCACCCACACCGCAGGCCAGAAAACGGGGCTGGCAAAATCCTTTAATTTCTTACTGTCAAGGGCATTTATTTCCAACTACACATTATCACGTGCGTAACTTCCACCGTATAATTAAGTGAGTCGTTTTAGCACGCAGCAAAAGAATTAAGATCTGTTTGTTCTACTTGGTAAAACTTAGTGTCAGGCACCGTGCCGGTTCCTTGGGGTTACAATAACTGAAGAAAACTTCATTAAAAAAAAAAAGTCCACCTGAAGCCGCTCTCAATTCCGGTGTCCACACCCAGGGCACCGCGGCACCGAGCCAGGGAGAAGCGAGACTGGGAGTTTCCTAAAGCAAATGAGACTGTCGTTCAGGGAAAGACAAGACAACTCCCGTGCCGCCATGCACACGATCACCTGCTTCGCCAGGCCGGCTTCCGGCTCAAGCCCCGCCCTCCGATTCAGGCTCCGCCCCCGAACCGGCGCGCCCTCAGCTGGCGCTGCGTGCACGACCTGGCTCCGCCCCTCCGGCTCTAGTCCCGCCCTCTTCTCAGGCCCCGCCCCCTAGCTTGGCACGCTCCCAGCAGGGGCTGCGTGCGCGGCGGCCCTGCCCCGTCCCTCCTGCTCAGCCACGTCCCCGTCTCATTCTCCGCCCAGGCCCCGCCCCTCTGGCCCTCGCCACGCCCCTGGCTCCAGGCCCCTCCCCCTGTCTGAGATCCCGCCCCTGGCCCACCACGCTCCCGGCAGGCGTTGCGTGCGCGACGGCCCTGTCCCGCCCCTTCTGCTTGGCCGCGCTCCCGGCCTCATGCTCCGCCCAGGCCCCGCCCCTCCGGCCCTCGCCCTGACTCAGGTCCCGCCCCTGGCCCGGCACGCTCCCGGCAGGCGCTGCGTGCGCGCGGCCTTGCCCCGCTCCTCCGGCTCGACCACGCCCCTCGTGGAGCTAGGCAGATGGCGGAGCTGGACATCGGGCAGCACTGCCAGGTGGAACACTGCCGGCAGCGAGGTGACTGCGGAGTCCCCACCCCCGCCGGGACAGACATGGAGGCTTCACGCGTGCAGGCCCGGAGGGAGGCCGCAGGCAGGGCAGGGTGGGTTTGAGGAGCGCAGCGGGCGCGTGCCTCCTGGGTCTGCCGTGAGACGTGGGGTGCTGGTCCTGCGGCCACTAAGCCTTGGGATTCACTTATACTCACCGTGGAAGGGAGCCGGGCAGGTCTTGAAAGCGTCCCAGGCAAAGCCCGTGTTGATTTGCAAGTGCGCCTGGCCTTAGAAGCCCGCTGTTAGAGTTGGGGAGCGCCATCCTCGGGCAGGCCACTTCCCATACAGTGATGGACGAAGGGTTGGACGAGTTCAGAAGCCCCTGGCCCTGGTCAGATTCCCAAGGGGTCCTGGCCCTGCCTTACTCCATCAGATACTCCTTATGCACCCAGGCTCGGGCAATTGTTGATCTGATCATTACTGTCTTTTGCCAAGAGGAGCTTTTGGTCGTAGCGCGGTGTTCTTTCTCTGCTGATCCTAGAGACTTTGATATATAGGCAGTCGGGAGCCATTCTCCAGAGTGGGTAAGTTCAGGAAACCTTAGAGCCACACAGAGTGCTTGCTCAATCTTTGTTTCCAAGGTGTGGCACCCCTCATTACCTTAATCATTGGTACCCGAGTCGCAGTGTTTAGAAGGACAGGGGAGCAGGGTTAGCTTAGATTCAATACCACTGCCATCTTTGATTAATGGTGACTTGGCTGTGCTGTTACAACCTGTCTCGTACCAGGAAAAAAATATGTATTTATTTATTTAGTTTTATAGGAAGAGCAGATTTACAGATATGAAGAAACAGGGAAAGATCTTCTGTCTGATGGTTCACTCCCCAAGTCGCTGCACTGGCTGGAGCTGAGCCCATTTGAAGCCAGGAGACAGGAGATTCTTCTGGGTCTCCCATGAGGGTGCAGGGTCCCAAGGCTTTGGGTTGTACTCGACTGCTTTCCCAGGCCACAAGCAGGGAGCTGGATGGGAAGTGCAACTGCCAGAACACAAACCCATTTGGGATACCAGTGCTGGCCACTGTGTAGGACCCTCAGAAAATTATTTCAATTTAACTCTTTTCCCTGGGTCATTCTGACTTGTATCTGCCACACAGTGGGTTACCAAAAGCCCCAAAGTAGTAAGCATGTTCAATTTTTCCATATTGGAAAAAGTCAACTTTCCAGTAAGTGTATTACATGCTTCAATTAGTTTCTCCCATTAGCAGATATTGTCGTTAACTGCTTGGTAGGAATCAGAAGCTCTTAATGTCATGGCTTAACAACATCAGTGAGAGTTCTAGTCTACTTTGCACATGTAGAAAAATGATTTCAGCTCAGTCATTCCACAGTAGAAGTAACCATAGGTCCCTTTTGTTTACAACAGAACCTGGTTTTGTGTGTCTATGAATACATGTATGTACAGAGAACCCCACGCAAACACTGCATACTATACCAAATATAAATAGACAATGCTTTGGCCTGGCACAGTAGCCTAGTGGCAAAACTCTTCAACTAGCACGCTGCAGAATCCCATATGGGTGCTAATCCTGGCAGCCCCACTTCCCATCCAGCTCCCTGCTTGTGGCCTGGGAAAGCAGTTGAGGATGACCCAAAGCCTTGGAACCTTGCTCCCGCATGGGGGACCCAGGAGAGGATCCTGGCTTCTGGCTTTGAATTGTCTCAGCTCCAGTGGATGGAAGATCTTTTCCTTTCCTTCTCTCTAAATCTGCCTTTCCAATAAAAATAAAGAAAAACAACTGCTAGAGGAGTACTAGAGGAGTACTCAGTAGAAAAAAATTTTGTAAAAAATATTTATTTATTTGAAGATAGAGTTGCAGAGAGAAATGGAGAGGTTAGTCACTTATTCACTCCCTAAAAGGCTGTGGCACCAGGACACAAACTGGTACTCATAATAGGATGCCAGCTTGAGCCTGTGGCTTAATGCGGTGTGCACACCACCATCACTGTGGAATCAGACTTTACACTCAGGCTTTTTTTGTTTTTGTTTGTTTTTAATCCAAATGTTGAATGTAGATGTAGTGTGCAAAAATAATACCTAAAATAAGTCTTGGGAAACAAAAGAAAAACTCAGAACTTTGTTTCTTTTGACTTAACACAGTCACTAAGAGTAATATCGCCTGTGTAAGCAGTTGCTTCCCCGCAGGAGTACTGCCATTGTGGTAACCTCTGTTCATTAGTGGGCATGTAGGAATTTACTACACCAAAATATCAATGAAAATCCTTCTATGGACATGGTCTAATACCATAAGGTGATTTTTGTTTAAGAAAATGTAAGCAAGAAGCAAGTCATGTACTGACCATAACATACAACATTTTCCCTCAATTTTAGACTTTCTTCCATTTGTGTGTGATGGTTGTTCAGGAATATTTTGGTAAGTGAAGCTGCAGATTTAAGCTGCAGTAATTTTAGTGTTTGTAATGTGGGGTTTGTTTCTGGAAAGGAAGTGATTTAAATAGTTGCTACTTTAGGCATTGATACTTGACATTTAATTCAATAATCACTGGGATAAGATAAAAAGAAACAGCCTAGTCACAGGCTCTGACAACTTATGCATATATGTGCCCAATATTTAATATTGCAGAAAAGGATTATGTGAAGTTTTGTCTTTTAATTACAAGCAGAAAATAATGACCACATGGAAAGAGTATGGTTTTTAAAAATCCATCTGTGGCCTTTCGTTCGGCCAGAGCCAGCATCTTCCAGTCCTTCCCCAAGATGATGAATGCAGAGGAAGAAGAAAGGAGAGCTCCATCACGCATTCTCAGGCCTTTTAGGAAACAAGGCATTGTTCCCTTTGGCCACATACATATGCATTTACAAGGAAGGTGACATTGTAACCATCAAAGACATGGGTACTGTTCAAAAAGGAATGCTGCATAAAGTTACCATGGCAAAACTGGAAGAGTCTGCAGTGTTACACAGCATGCTGTTGGCATTGTTGTAAACAAGTCAAGGATAAGATTCTTGCCAAGAGAATAAATGTGTGTATTGAGTGTGGGGTCTCCCCCACAGATTCCTCTAGTACCCAGTTGCCAAAGGGGATGAGCCTGCTGCCCGCCATCCAGCCTCCTGGTGCACAGGAGACACACAGGGGTTCCAACTAAGCAGTTCTGATTTATTTGGGAAATAGAAATTCTTCTATAGAGTAGGGAACGGCCTCAGGCCAGGAATTCCCGGAGTCCCAGAGAAACTAGGAGCCAGTTGTCATCAGCATGACTGTGGAAGCCACTTCCCATAGGAAGGTGGGGAGGTGAGCGAAATGGCCCTGGCCAATCAGTCTTTCTTTGAAACAACTTGACCCCTGCCCTAGATCACGCCCAGTGCTCTGCCCTTGGCCTCATCTTGTTCGCCAGTGACATTGACTGTTAGCTGCCATCTTGTCGAATTAGTGTCCCGATCGCCCCAGAGCCCCACATTGAGCAGGAAAATAAAAGACCTCTGGACTAAAAAAAAAAAAAAATCTATCTGTGATTATCACTCAAGTTTAATTAATAAAATGAAAAAAGCCCAACTATTCAATTCTTTTTAATTTAATCACATGTTCACATGCAAAGTGAAACAAATGAACTAATAAAAGTTTTGGAAAATGTTTTTTTGTGACGATCAAACTTTAAGATATCAAGCATTTAGCTTGTTAAGCAGAGGCTGAAAGTTTTAACCCTTTTAAGATCATAATGCTAAAAAGCTTGCTGGAAATAAATAAAAGTAATATATATTTTAAAAGTCACTCAGAAGTAGAGTACTCATTTGACATTTTACTGCCAGTGGTCTGTAAGAACTAAAAGAAATTATAAGATTCATAATTATAAATTATAGTAATGCTATTTAGAGTGATGAATTGTTGATATTCACGGTGAAGTTGAACATTGGTGTTTTGAAACTTGAGAGTAAAGCTCTTTGGTGTCTATCTGCCATTTTAGTTTTTCTCATGCAGTCTTATTACTATGTAAATATAATTAAGATACTAGACATTGAAGTATCTAGTTATCTTCAAGTATGTTGTTCGATTGAATTTGGACCAATATTACTTTTCTTTTTTAAGCCTTGAACACAGAAGCAGGGACTCGCATGGCTGTCCAGAGGTATGTTAATATTCTTCTAGTCTGATACAATATATTTGTAGTCATATTTTCTCATTTAGAATTTGATTTAAACTAATCAGTTCATCAGAGATGACCTAATACATTGAACTGTTTATTTCATAGGTAAATGTGTACTTGTTGAATGTTTTATCCCATAAGCATTTAATCCACTAAATCCAGTATACAAAGTAGATACAACTTATTATTTGAAGGTTGATGAGATTATCACCTGGCCGCATTTTTATGGGACATCTTTGTGTGGAACTGCTATACAGTAGATTAACGTCATAGAGAGGAACTGCAGTCATTGTAATTTAGCAGATAAATGTATCACATTAGAAAATTACGAAGAAATATTTGCAAAAGTGATTTTTATATGAAGGTGTGTAATTTGCTCTGATGCATCTAAGAAAAAGCATGGGAAAACTACTTAAGATTTGTATATTTGCTTTAAGAACAAAGTAAAATGACATTTTGCCCATTCTACGTTTTCAGGTGACTGTAACCAATGAGCAACTAAAGACAGACACACACAAATCTTTCCCATGCTCATTCAAGGACTGTACTGAACGAGAGCTGGTAGCAGTTATATGTCCTTATTGTGAGAAGAATTTTTGCCTGAGGTGATCACTTAGAGCGTTTCAATTTTTATGTATGTATGTATATTTATATACGCACATGTGTCATATATGAATATACAAGCCATTGTCACTCTTCTGTTGCTCAGACACCGTCATCAGTCAGATCATGAGTGTGAAAAACTGGAAATCCCAAAGCCTCGTATGGCTGCCACTCAAAAACTTGTTAAAGACATTATTGGTAAGTATCTAGAAAGCTGGTTTTGTAGCTTTCATTGTCATTATGCACTCTGTTGATTCCAGAGAACCTTCTCCTTATGTCTTTTTGCCAAGTATGGAAGGCATGGTTAACACTGCCAATAATAACAACTTAATTTTTAATGGGATTCTTGTGGAAGTATTTCTTGGGGCCAGTTTTCTGGCACAGCAAGAGAAACTGCTGCCTACAGCGCTGACAATCTTGTATGAGTTTGGGTTCTAGTCCTGGCTATTCCATTTCTGATTCAGCTCTTTGTTCAGGCACCTGGGAATGCAAGGAAAGGTTACCCAAGTGCTTATGGTCCCTGCTAACCATGTGGGAGACCCAGGTGGAATTCTGGGCTCTTGACTTTAGCCTAGCCAAGCCCCAGCAAAAGGCTCTTTGAGGATTGAACCAGCAGATGGCAGATCTCTGTCTTTCTCTGTCCTTCTGTCTATAACTCTTTCAAATAAAATTTTAAAGTATTTCTTCAATTGTGTATGAAAATTTTGAAATTATTTATTAGAATCTCACCCAGATGATATCTTTTCCTGGGCTATTTAAATCAACTGGTTAACCATTGTGGCTCAATATGGTATTCATGAAGATGACATAATTAATTGCTGTCTATAAAGGACTAAATTCCAAGCCGAGTCTGCTCTCCCGTGAGTATTGATGGTACAAAGTGCCAGGGAGGAATCTATGGCTTAGATCAGTCTCTCTGGCAACATGTTGGATCAGCAACATTTATTATGGATTGATGACAATACTTTCATGAAAATCTTGCATATCTCAGAGTTCTCTGTAGAAGCGTTAGATTGCTTTTGCTTGAGTAGGCCTAGGTTAGAAAGGATAAAATGAATTTTGTTAAGCTTTATTTTTATTTATGTGAAAGAGTTATAGAAAGAGGGAGAGACAGAGAAGAGAGCAATCTTCTATATACCAGTTTATTCCCCAAATGGCTGGAAAGGCTAGGCCGAAGCCAGGAACCCGGAGCTTCTTCTGTGTCTCCTATTGGGGTACCGGGGCTCAAGCACTTGGGCTATCCTCAGATGCTTTCCTAGACACATTAGCAAGGAACTGGATCAGAAGTAGAGCAGCTGGTACGTGAACCAACACCTGTATGGGATGGCAGCATTACAGGCAGAGGCTAACTGGCTGTATCACAACACTGGCCCAGAATGGTGAATATGCTTGTATGGACAGCACCTAGGTCAACTCCAATGCAATCTTTCCAATGGTTATGTAAATATAATACTGATAACGTGACTGTGGTCTCTGTATGTCTCACACACATATTGGGTCTAAGTTGTTTGTGTCTCAAGACTTCAATAAACTCTTTCTAATAAAATTTGGGAAGAAGTAATATGAAAGTTATTTACACATATTACACTTATTTCTTAGATTCCAAAACAGGAGAGACAACAAGTAAGCGACGGAAAGGTGCAAAAAACAGTGCAACAGCTGCAAAGGTTGCCTTGATGAAGTTAAAGATGCATGCTGATGGGGATAAGTCATTGCCACAGGTTAGTCTTAAAGAGCTGGAGAAGCAAAAGTATCCCAGATATAATTGAAGTTCCTTTATTCCCCTTCCCTGATCGAGTAACAGATATGTATCATGGCATCTGCCTAATTCTTAGCTTTGTTGTGTTTTTCTCCCTTTACAAAACTGATAATCAAATGAATCGTTTTTCAACTTGGATTTTGTTTCTGTTTTCCAGTTTGGCATCATATCTTTTTTTTTCAGATTAATTTATTTTTACTGCAAAGTCAGATATATACAGAGAGGAGAAGAAACAGAAATATCAACAAATAAATCTTTAAAAAAAGGTGGGTGGGCGGCGGCGTAGCCTAGCAGCTAAAGTCCTCGCCTTGAACGCTTTGGGATCCCATATGGGTGCCGGTTCTAATCCCGACAGCTCCACTTCCTATCCAGCTCCCTGCTTGTGGCCTGGGAAAGCAGTTGAGGACGGCCCAGAGCTTTGGGACCCTGCACCCGTGTGGGAGACCCGAAAGAGGTTCCTGGTTCCCGGCTTCAGACCGGCGAAGTATCGGCCGTTGCACTCACTTGGGGAGTGAATCATCGGATGGAAGATCTTCATCTCTGTCTCTCCTCTCTGTATATCTGCCTTTCCAATAAAAACAAATAAATCTTAAAAAAAAAAAAAAAAAGAAACAGAAATATCTTCTGTCCGATAATTCACTTCCCAAGTGACTGCAATGGCCAGTGCTGTACTGATCCAAAAACAGGAGCCCAGATCCTCTTCCGGGTCTCCCACACGGGTGCAGGGTCCCAAGGCTTTGGGCCGTCCTTGACTGCTTTCCCAGGCCACAAGCAGGGAGCTGGATGGGAAGTGGAGCTGCTGGGACTAGAATGGATGCCCATATGGGATCCCAGCGCATTCAATGTGAGGATTTTAGCCACTAGGCCACCGCACTGGGTCCTTGGCATCATTTCTTTAACATCCATGCTGACAGATTTATTCTAGTTCCTTCATTTTGACAGATGCGTATTATTCCACAGTATGAATATACCTCACTTTACCTGTTGTTTTAACTAATAAAATCCATATTGTTTTAGTTTTTTTATAATTAAGAGCAGGTGTACAATGAATGTCCTGAAAAAGAAAAACCAAACAATGAATGTCCTGATACATGTGGGAGAGATCTCTCGAACAGTCCCTTCACATTTTGCAATTTGTATTTATGTAGTAAGTCAGTATATACATAAACATATATGTACACTTAGTTTCATTGATACTTAGATTGAATTTGTGATGTGTAGTCACATTTTTTTTTACCATAATCTGTTTATTGTAAAACTTACTTATCTAATCTGTGATCAAGTAAGGCCATTGGTAGGCAAATACTACTCCAGGGAAATAGATCTAGAGAGAAAACCTGAGTTACAGGATTCATGCGTCTTCAGCTTTACTGTGGCTGTCCCTGTTGCCAGTGCTGGTACTGTCCGCTTCCTGCCAGCAGTGTTCTCAACCGCGTCTATTCCTGCTCAGTTATTCTCTCATAAAAACTTTAGAATCACTTCTTTCTGTTTTGTTAAATGCATTTTTTTCCTTTATCTTTTTTTTTTTTGAAATTGTGTGTTAAATGTTAGATTAGAGATAGTTGATAACTTTAGAATTTTGATTCATTCCAGTCGTATTTGTGGTTATCTTCCCAGCCATAATATCTTTTCTTAGGCTTATTATTAGGCTACTTGTGTATATGTGTATATATTAGTATGTGTGTATATATAAACATAGTTAAAGATTTAGTTATCTTGACTTGAAAATCAGAGCTACATGGAGAGAGAGTGTCCATTTACTGATTCACTCCCCCTGATGGTCGCAATGGCTAGAGCTGAGCTGGTCTGAAGCTAGGAACCAGGAGCATCTTCTGAGTTCCAGGGGTTGTAGGAGCCCAAGGCCTTGGGGCTATGCTCTGCTGCTTTCTCTGGGCATAAGCAGGTAGCTGGATTGGAAGTGAAGCACCTGCAGGTAAGAGATTAATCTGTTAAGCCACCACACTGGCCCCAAGTCTTTATATTTTTTGCTGCCACTCTAAATGATACCCTTTAAAAAAAATCGCATTTTCCTCATTGGGTCTTGGCTAGTTCTTGTATGTTGGCCTTCCACCCAGAGAAATTCCTAATTGTTCACTTTCCCATTCTTTGTAGATTTTTCTGGCATACTTTCTGTGCAATTATATCTTCCACAAATGTGAGTTTTCATGGGGAATTTTGCTGTGAATTTTTTTCTCTTCTATTTCTTTTCCTCATTATTCATTTTAGTGCTGACAGGTCCACAACAATGTTGCATAATATAGGTCAGCGCAGCCAGTCAGTTTCCTGTTCTGACTTCAGTGGAAATGACCTGAAGTTTCTTCAAGTATTATGTTAGCTTTTATAATGTTAATGATACTTTCTTTCTATACTTAGTTTGCTAAAGGCTTAGAAGTAAGGGTTAAATTTCACTGTAAATTTTTTTCTTACATCTAGTAAAATCATTTTTTCATTAGCAGTGTGATTGATTTTCTGTTGTTAAATCAGCCATATATTCCAGGATAAACTGCTTGATTCTTTTAAGATACATTGCTAGATTGATCTCCTAATATGTTATTGAATGACATGAGCAGCAAGATTGTACTTACAATATGGTGAAGCAGTGGGCTGGCTGCAATGGCTCAGTTTGCACATCCTCCCCGTTTTAAGTGCCAGGATTCCATATGTGCACCAGTTTCTATTCTTGCTGCTCCACTTCCCAGCCAGCTCCCTGCTTGTGGCCTGGGAAAGCAGTGAGGATGGCCCAAAGCCTTGGGACCCTGCACCTGCATGGGAGACCTGGAGGAAGTTACTGGCTCCTGGCTTCAGATTGGCTCAGCTCCAGCCATTTTGACCACTTAGGAGTGAACCAGCAAGTGAAATAGCCTTCTCTCTGTCTCTCCTGCTGTCTGTAAATTTGCCTTGCCAATAAAAATAAATATTTCTTTTAAAAAATTTATTATAATTGTAGATGGAAATGATTATCTGTTCTTGAAACTGAGGTAACATATTGAATCTCTTGGATAATTTGAACCTGTTTTCTTTTTTGAGAGGGGAGTTTTGTATACTAGTTTATGTGTATTTCATACCTTTTGATTCATTTGGATGTTGTATTTCCTCTGCAGTCAGTTTTGGCACACAGTCAGTAATTCCTACTGTGTTATTGTTTCTTTTTATTTTCTGTATTTAGAGTTTTCTTTCATGTTGTACTAACTTCTCATACAGTGTGGTGACCTTATTTCTTCAGGATGCGTTAGCTGTATGAGTTTGGTTGTAGTTTGTTTGTTTGTTTGTTTACTACCTTTGTTCTTTACCTTGATACCATTTCAAACAGAAGAGTTGTGAAAGTGGCATGAGGAACATTTTCACTATCTTTTACTCATTTGTAGTTAAATTTTTCTCTATTTGTCTTATATTTCTCTATTGCCTTATTATTGTCTCCATCTCTGTCCATGTGAGAAAATAGATGTGTGTGTCATTAAAGATTTATATATTTTTATTGGAAAGTCAGATATACAGAGAGGAGGAGAGACAGAGAGGAAGATCCTCCATCCGATGATTCACTCCCCAAGTGGCCTTAATGTCAGGAGCTGAACTGATCCTAAGCCAGGAGCCCAGAGCCTTTTCTGGGTCTCCCCTATGGGTGCAGGGTCCCAAAGCTTTGGGCCGTCCTCAACTGCTTTCCCAGGCCACAGGCAGGGAGCTGGATGGGAAGTGGAGCAGCCAGGATTAGAACCAGTGCCTATATGGGATCCCGGTGCATGCAAGGCGAGGACTTTAGCTGCTAGACTACTGAGCCAGGTCCTTTTATAATTTTAATTGTTTTGCTGAATTACGTGTTATCAAATGTATGAAATTTCTCCACTGTTACATCTTTGTGATTTTTACCCTAAATCTTAATTTGAATTTTAATATTGTTTTACATTCTTTTTTATTTTTGATTTTCTTTCTGGGATTGTGGACATAGTTGAGGGGGATGCATGCCCCTATGTGCCTGGGTAGGGTGGGAGGCGCGGGTGCTGAGGAGGATGAATGGGCTGAATGTTTTGGGTTTTCTCGCCCCTCCTGTGTCCACAAGGAGGAGGATAAAGGGTAGTGGGCCGCTCCTTGTTGTCACACTACATCAGCACAAACTACATTAGAGTTTTCCGAGGGTGTTACCTGAATGGTTCTGATCGTTCCTAGAAGTTTGCAGTTTTGCTGATGCAGGGTTAAGAAAAATCTTTCCAAAGTCTATTGGTTGACATAGTCTACCTAAGTGCACTGGCAAATCCAGGAACATGCTGCACAGCTTGGCCAGGAAAACTGTAATATTGCTTTCCTTTCTTTTAGTGAATATTTAACTATTTTGCCTTTTTTCATCCTTTTATATTAAACTTTTCTGTGTTACTTTGTTTTAGGGTATTTGTAAGCAGTGTATAGCTGGACTTTATTTTTTTAATACAGTTTGATAGTGTCTCTTTTATAGGTGACTTAAACCTATTTGTATTTGTTGTCCTCATTGAGAACATTTGGAAGTGTTCTTTCATCTTGTACATTCTGTTCATCATCTGTTTTTTTTTTTAATTCTCTTCCTTTTTAATTGATTAATTTTTTGTTTTATAGTGGTTTACAAACCATTAATCACAGCTTTTTTCTTTTGGTGTTATCTTTAATGTTTTCCTTTATTTTCTTTAAAAGGAGACGTTACAGAAAGAGAGATGTTCTACCTGCTGATTCACTCCTCCTGTGGCTCCAGCAGCAGGGGCTGGGCCAGGCAACAGCCTTGTGCCCGAACCAGGTCTCCCATGTAGGTGCAGGGGCCCAAGCATTGACACATCTGTTGCTTTCCCAGGCACGTTTGCAGGGAACTGGATCAGAAGTGGAAGAGCTGGGACTCAGTCCCATCCGGGATGCTGACTTTGCAAGTGGCAACTTAACCTCTTATGCGACAACACTGACTCCTGGATCCTTTTCAAAATTGTATCTATTTTTTTAATATGGGTGACGGAAGATTTATATAGAAAAGTAAATCCCTCTTGTATCTGTCATCCATTTTCATCCCTCTCAGAGAAGCAGTGATTCTCAACTGAAGGTGAATTTACTCTCTAGGGATACTAATGTTGGAGATTTTCTTGGTTGGTACAACTGTGGATGGGGTGCCACCCATATCTGGTGGGTAGAGGTGCTGCTAAGTATCTTACATTGAAAAGACTGTGCTCACAATACAGAGTTTTCTAGCCCAACATGTCAATACTGACAAAAGTTGAGGTTTCCACTAAACATCCAATAATATTATTCATATTATTCATTATAAGAGACTTAAAACATGGTAGCAAAAGCTGTAGCATTTAACTTTGTTCTAGACCCTTTCTAACAGTTTCAATTAGCTTATGAGGTATATATCAGGGATCTTCAGAAGATTCATGGGAAATATATTTTATGAAAAAACTGTATTTATACCTTTGTAATTCGGCAAATAAATTAGAACTAGTCATATTGCTGTTCACTTCCGAAAGGTCCCAACAGCCAAGAACCACATCCCATGTGGGGGGCATATTCTGCTGCCTTTCTAAGTATATAACAGAAGCCAAGCACCTGGGACTTAAGCCAACACTGAGACATGGGGTGTCGGTATTGCAGTCAGCAGGGTAACTCACTGTGCCACATCAGGCCCCCAAACCAAGTTTTATTTTCTTCCATTGGCTTAGTTAGCTTCATGTCACTTGATTATTAAAAAAGCAAAAACAACCTTTGTTTCATTGAATCAAAATACCAAAATGTCACCTTTATAATAAGTTACCTTATTTCTATATGAATCTGTGTTTTAATTTCCTAGTGTATTTCACTAATTGATTTTTACTTGTATGTCAGTCCTACATTTATTTGATCCAATAACTCCATAAAAATGTTTTAGTGTATCTGATCACACAGGTCCAAACATTTCCCATACTTTTCCTCATGAGGCTTTTTCAAGAAGGATTTCTTCATCCAGATACACCCTATGGTTTTATGTACACATGTTTAAAAATAACTCTCCTGGGATGCTGCTGGTTAGGACACTGGGAGCAGGTTGTGATGGCAGACTTCAACAGATACTGTTCAGGGATTGTACGTCATGGTCTTGGACAGAGATGGGGTTCTTTCCCCTCTGCACCCTTAGAGTGCATGCAGCAAGTGAAGAGCTGGATTCTTGTCCCAACCTGCAGGACACGACGCTCAAACCCTGAGGGTGGACTGGGAATGCCAGGCTGTTGGCCCAAGAAACACATGGACACACGTACTTGGTGGAAAAGAGTGCCTCTCGCTCTTTATTTGACTCCTCATATATACCTTCTTCTCTAGGGGAGGAGGGGAAGAGGGGTGGGTTTCCTGGAAGTAATTATCTTCATTGAAGTAGGGAAGGAACTAATCATCTGTATTGAAACAGGGGAGGAACTAATTATTTGAACAGGAGCAAGGGTGGAGATTCTAAGGGTGCAGGTTCTATTCTGCTTGCTCTACACAGGATGTTCTGGCCGCAATATCCTGCTTGCTGTGGCCCTGCTTGCCCGAGGCAGGCTTTGCAATGCAACAGGCTGTCAAGCATGCCAAGTCTAAGGCACATTAAGTCTGAGGCTCCCAACAGACTCTAAGAAGCTCCTTGGCCGTTCTCATGGGCGTGGTCTCAATTCTGTGCCGGGATTCTGATTCCTTTCCTGCTCACAAGATTTAGTAATAGTTATAAAGCCTCCTCAGCACATTCCTGTTTGATTTATCTGAGGGAGATAAAGTAAAAATCAATTTCTCAGCAGATCCATTTGCAAGTCCAGGTTTTGGGTCAGAGATTCATGCCTGAAGGATTCACATTTAATCGGCATTCTGTGATACTCACGGGAGCAAGGACATTTTCTTCCCTTAGAACTATGTGTATAATTCATTATTTATATCATATTTGATTGCTTTATAATAGGTTTATTCATTTAAATACTCCATATTTTCAACACTAGTTATTCTAGAATTTTTGTGCCCATTGTGAAAACATCTCTCTCACCCTCACTTCTGTTTCTGGATATCTACTGTTAATGTAGATGGGGGAAAAATCTTAAGTTCTGTATACATATTTTTTCAGTCATATCACTAAATTACCTCGTGTCTTCAGTTTCACCTCATTAGCAAGTAAGAATAGTTTTAAATTTTCTTGCGTGGTCTACTGGTTAATTCAACATCTTGTGCTGCATTATCTAGCATCTCAACTTGAATGGTTTATAATAATGATGATAGTAGGCATGTACTGCATTTAGTAATTAAATACTAAATTTTTTCCTTGAAATCCAAAGTTACTTAATATCATATCCTACTGTATAAAGCAGAGTTTGACCTCATCTAGCTGAATATTCCTGGTTCCATTATCTTACATAACACTTTTAAGTTCAGTTTCTTCTTTTTTTAGAGCTTCTTTTATTTTGCTAAAGTAGATTTTTAAATAGTTTAATAAGTAATGGTCTTGGTGATTAATTCTTATTCCTTTTTTTTAAAAAATCTGCAAATGCTTTTATTTCACTTGTAGCAGGTGTCTTGGATAGAAATTTTCAACTCTTAATATAATGCTCATTGTTATCTGCCACCTATAATTGGAGAAACATCTAACTCATGCTCATCTGACTCAGCCTAACTCATGCTGTTTTATGGTTTATCTCTTTTTATAGCTTTAAGATTTTAATAGTAATATCTTCCAGTTTCTGTTCAGTATTTCTAGGTATGAAATCCTTTTAAGTATTAAGCTTGAAATTTGCAGTACATTTGAATTTCTTACCTCAGTAACTGTGTGGATAATTTTTATATTTCTGTTTGCCTCTTCCTATGTTGCTTTATTTGTATCTGTTTTGGCTTCATAGTTTCTTGTTCCTTTTTATGGAAATCATTTATCTCCTTGTGCATCCTAGAGAGCTCATTTTAATATCGTTTTTACATTCAGGTATTTTTATTGTCCCATAATCAGTTCAGCTGTAACTTGTTTGGAATCTGGTTTTACTGGGTCTGTATATTCATCTTGAGTAGATGCTTCTGTGTCTCTCTTCCTTCTACTCACTGCTTGCTGTCCAGCAGTTTTTTTGGTTTTTTTTTTTTAGATTTATTTTTATTATTTTGTTATTGGAAAGGCGGATGTACAGAGAGGAGAGACAGAGAGGAAGATCTTCCATCCGATGATTCACTCCCCAAGTGAGCGCAACGGGTCGATACTACGCTGAACCGAAGCCAGGAGCCTCTTCCGGGTCTCCCACACGGGTGCAGGGTCCCAAAGCTTTGGGCCGTCCTCAACTGCTTTCCCAGGCCACAGGCAGGGAGCTGGAAGGGAAGCGGGGCTGCCGGGATTAGAACCGGCGCCCATATGGGATCCTGGGCGTGCAAGGCAAGGACCTTTAACCACTTGCGCCACCGCGCCGGGCCCTGTCCAGCAGTTTTGCATGTCTCCCCCCAATCCCTCATCTTGCCCTGGATTGCAAATTCAGTTTCATGTTGGCAGACTGTGCTTCTGTTTCATAGAGACATCTGGATTATATACAGATTCTGAGCTGGAAGACGTGGCATTGGTTACTGCTGGAAGGTGGTGCCTGTGCTTTTCTGCCTCTTTATGTCTTGGTTTATATAACTAATAGCCTAAAACATCAGCAATAACTTCACTGGCGTCGCTTTCTGAGTACCCTTCCCAGCGTGCAAGCAGGACGTCAGATCAGGAGCTGATCTTGATCTCCATGCGCTGCTGCTGTTTCCCCTTTGCCCTCAGGTTGAATAATGACTGCCTCTTTCATCTTTGATCCTCAGACATATTTCCTTCTTATTTTAGATTAGATTTTTACATTTTTTTAAGTAAAATATTTTTAACAACTTTATTATTTTCTGTTTTCTTGTACTTTTCTTTTTGGAACAAGAACACAAGAACTCTTTGGGTATGAATTAGTCCAACACTTGAATTTCTAGTGATTTAAAAAAAAAGTCTATTTTCTGTAAAAACGTACTCCTCTGGTCTTCAGCAAGTCTAAATTCTTGTGCTGAGATGGGGACTGTGATCTGTAGTTATGCCCAAATTTTATTGTAGCAGGAATTGTTCTATAAAGGCAGCACTTTTTAAAGCAGTAGTTTAGGAATCAGTGACAATCAATGCCAACTACCTTTTCCTGCATTTGTTCATTGAGCAAAATAAAACACAAGGAAGCAGGTAAAAAAAATTAACAATATGGAAGCAGATAGGCTGTAGAATACTGAATAAACCATCTGTGCATTTCTTCTGTTGGTAAGATACTTGTGCAAGATTTTTTTTATTATTATTTAATTTGTCTTTTAGCTTATTGGTTCTCAGAATGTTTTTTCTCACTTACTGGGGAATGACCAGATGGAGGGATTTAACATCAAGAGAAGCAGACTCTGCTCTTTATTCACTTTATGTTGAACTCATTCTTTACCATTTGTGGCTACTTTTCTATATTAATTGAGGAGTAACTGAGGGTTAGCCACACGCAATACAGATACAAATCCATGAGACTTTTAACAACTCAGATAAAGCAGTTTCTCTTGCATCAGTTTTTAACTTAAGATCTCAGAAAAATATCTCAGTTCACTAGTTTAGGTCACATGCATAAATTTGCACAGATCACCCTGACCAGAATCCTGATCATTTGGATGGATGGTGGCCAGCTATGACTTGTAGGAAAAAAAAAAAGTCACTAAATGTTGTATCATTAGAGGTTTATCTTTATCTGTCCAGAAAAAGAAAGGATGTACCATATAGATGTCTTACTATATGTGTGTGTGTGTGTGTGTGTGTGTGTGTGTGTATAATTTATGTTTTAACTCTTTATCTTTACAGACAGAAAGAGTTTACTTTCAGGTTTTCTTACCTAAAGGGAGTAAAGAGAAGAGCAAACCAATGTTCTTTTGCCAGCGATGGAGCATTGGAAAGGCCATAGACTTCGCAGCCTCTCTAGCCAGTCTGAGAAATGACAATAACAAACTAACAGCTAAGGTAGTATTTAGCTATGCTACTTTTCCTTGATAACTTGCGGAAATTCTAGACCAGCATGCCCATTTATTACAGCATGATGTCTCTCTTACAGAAATTAAGGCTGTGTCACATCACTTCTGGAGAAGCTTTACCCTTGGATCAGACTTTGGAAACTTGGATGGCTAATGAAGAGTACCCTTTATATAATGGTGGAAATATCATTTTAGAATATCTAAACGATGAAGAACGGTTTTTAAAACATGTCGACTCTTACTTGGAGTAGTCCTTCAAGGATTCAAGCCCGAATCATAAAGGAAAGTCCACGTACACGTTTAAGTCAATCTCTTGTGCCAAAAGTATCATTGTTTTGAAGTTGCTTTCTAACTTATCTCCATTGTGTTATAATTTATATTTTCAATTTTCTTACGTATTGCGGTTTGGTTTTAAAGTTTATAATGATACTTATTAAAAACTTTTTGTATTGGGGCTGGTGCTGTGGCATATGTGCCAAGTCACCATCTATGACACCAACATCCTACACGGATGTTAGTTCAAGTCCAGGATGGTTCGTTTCTGAACTCACTGCGTGCTAGTGTGCCTATGAAAGCAATGCAAAATGGCTAAGGTGCTTAGGCCTCTGCACCCATGTGGGAGACTAGGAAGATGCTTCTGGCTTCAAAAAGGCCCTGCTCTGGCCATTGCAGCCATTTGGGGAGTGAATCAGTACAGGGAAGAGCCCTGTCTCTCTTGTTCTCTGTATCTCTTTCAAATAAATAAATTTTTTAAAAAGTAAGAAAAATTTTGTATTTCATTAATTATATTATTAGGTTATGCTGCTAAAAAACAGTAGAACTCTGTTTCTTGTGTAAGTTAATGTCAGCTGTTCATTGACTGTAGCACTGCCTCAGGTAGTCCTCACTCCAGATGCCAGCTGAGAGCACAACCCCTTTTTGAGATATTGCTATTCTTAGGACAGATGGGAAAATGGGCAGGTATTTCAATTAGGTCTGAGAAAGTGTGTGTATCATTTGTACTTGAAGCCACTCCAAGTCTGGCGTCATTGAGCCAAAACATGTACACACTTACTAAATCCCCACACAGTGCTGTGTATAAGGTATGTGTATGTGAACTGCAGCAACTCAGAGATCATCTCCTATCTCTTAAGCTTGTGAATGAGGAAGGGAAAATGATGTTTGTAAGTTTTTTTTTTTTTTTAATTGGAAAGTCAGATATACAGAGAGGAGGAGAGACAGAGAGGAAGATCTTCCGCTCACTGGTTCACTCCCCGAACGGATGCAATGACCAGAGCTGAGCTGATCCAAAGCCAGGAGCCCAGAGACTTTTCTGGGTCTCTCATGTGGGTGCAGGATCCCAAGGCTTTGGGTTGTCCTCAACTGCTTTCCTAGGCCACAAGCAGGGAGCTGGGTGGGAAGTGGGGCCACTGGGATATGATCTAGTGCCCACTTGGGATCCTGGTGCATGCAAGGTGAGGACTTTAGTCATTAGGCAACCATGCCTGGCCCTGGAAAATGATGTTTTGTGTCACCTAATTGCTTTGGAGCATATTTCTGATAAAGGCCTGCCGTCAGTAGAATTCATCTTGTTTTATGAATATAACAAATGAGAAGATAGAATGGCTCAGCTTCATTATGATGTTTGCATACCAACACAGCAAAGCATGCCAAAAAAATTACATTTTATCAAGAAATCCAAAGTAATGTTCCTGATGAATGATTTCCATCTATATAAAAGGTAGCACTTTATGGAAGTAATAGGTTATCTATACTTGTTTGCTGACCTTTTCTCTTTTATTATCATGGACATGTATAATGTCTAAGTTTAAAGCAATAAACTCAATGCTTATTTCATTTTTCCTTAAGATTTTCATATGAGGAATGAAAATAATTTCCAACTTTCATTCACTAGTTTAATCTGAGTACCTTCTGAATGTGAGGGTCTGTTTCTTATTGCCACAGTGGATACCACGTATTAATATATACAATATCATAACTATAAAACAAACTAGTGTAACAGATATTAACTGAGTAGACCCAAATATAGCTATACTCTAATACCTCTTTTACCAGAAACTATAAAACAGATACAGAATGAATGAATGCAAACTAATACTTTATATATATACTTTATATATATACTAATACTAATACTTTAGCATCCATTGCCAGAGAAGCAATAGTGATGGGGGTTGAGAAGAGAAGTAAAGCTGGTGAGGGGAATGCAGAAGTGGCCCTATTAACAGGCAGAAAGCAAAGTGACATGGAAGAAAGGACTTAATAGGTGTACTAACTGCAAGTTAGGGATCCCCGAAAGTGGAGCGCTATATTTTACCTACTCAAGCAGAGACTAAAACTCCAGTTCATACTATGAGGTTGAAACTTAATCCAGTTATGATGCTGAGAGGTGATATTGTATCAGAACACTGTAAAGTAGAGACAGTCATACAAGCCCTTGCCTCCTAGATTCTGACACTCAGGACTGGCAAGAACGCCATCCCCAGAAGTCGCAGTGCTGCGGCCCACCTGACTTCCCACTGTGAACTTCCACACCATGAACCAAAATCAGTTTCTCCATTATCAAGGAGCTGGCCTCAGGAACTTTATAGTAATAATCTAACTAATACATGGGACTGGCCTGCAAGAAATAGGTGCTGGGTGGGAGAGACTATCGGTCCCCCCAGCTCTCCATTGCCAAATAGCTCTGAGTCAGGCCGAGTTTCTCAGGTTTCCTTTTAGGGTTCTCAGTTGAGCATACTAAAAGAAATGAGAGAATTTACTGTACCCCATCCTGATTTCATTCTGCTATTTGCAACTAAAATTGTAAGTGAAAGACCTGCAAAGAGAAATTTTAAATTCAGAAATGCAGTTGGGGTAACACTGGTTCAAAGAGCATTAGTTGAATCAAGCAGCAAGCTCATGTGAATGATACTCAGATTGTTCCCACATAAAGAGAAGACTTGGAAAAACTGAAGGAGAAAGTTGTAGATAGAATAATCTGAGAGGAAAGTAATTTTACTTGTATTATTAATAGTTAAAAGCACTTGGTTGTTAAGACATTAAGTGTTCATATAGTTTTAGTTTTTAAAAAGTTTTTTTGGGAGACGGGTTGTCATTTGAAGGATTTTTTTTTGTTTTATTGGAAAGGCAGATTTACAGAGTAAAGGAGAAACAGAAAGCTCTTGCATCTGCTGGTTCACTCCCCAAATGGCCACAGTGTCCAGAGCTGACTAATCAGGAGCTAGCAGCCTGTTCAGGTCTGCCACAGGGGAACAAGGTCCCAAGACGTTGGGCCATTCTCCATTGCTTTCCCAGGTTTTAAGCAGGGAGCTGGATAGGAAGTGGAGCAATTGGGACATGAACTAGTGCCTGTATAGGATGTTGGCACTTCTAGGTGGAAGATTAACCAGTTGAGCCATAGCACCAGATTCCCCGCCTTCCCTTTTTGTCATTTTATTATTTATTTTTTATTGGAAAGGTTGATTAGATTTATGGAGAGAGGGAGAGACAGATCTTCTATCTGCTGCTTCACTCAAGTAAGTAAAAAATAATTTTTAAACCATTTTAATAACTGACAGTTTTTGAGAAACAAATGTATTCTAAAGCACTTGATACAAATTTTCCTCAATTACATTTAGCACAGATTTTGTCATGATTGCATGAAGGATCTGCTAAAGTGGTCACTTGTTGAGAGACCTGAATCTGTTGGCTCAGTAGTGTACAGTTGCGCTATTTTAAGATTTTACTGTGTTTTTGTTTGCTTGTTTGTCTGTTTTCATTGCTGCTTCAACACTAGAATTGCCTCCCTTGTTTGGCAAATACACAATTGTGCGTCTGCTGGAGTGAAAAAAATGTTTTTCTCTCTGTTTTTGTCACTTCCCCCTCAATCTGATTTTCAAACAAAAATAAATAAGTAAAAAGGTTAAAGAGATTAGAGTTAACACCAGCATTTTTCTATCATGCTGCTGTGTCAGGATCTGAGTGTCACAGAGCAGGAGCTGCTGCCCTGGGCATAGCTTTGACCGTGGTACCAGCTACCTACTTTCCCTCTGTTCCCAAGTTAACTGCTAACTATCAATGAAATCATTCTACTTAAGGGTAGCAAAAACAGTTTCAGTGTTTGTCTGATGGACTGAGTCACTGAGATGCTGCCAAGGTCAGACATTAGGCTCTGCCAGTCTTCTAGGTAATAATAACAGGCTTGACTAAACTCCGGCAGAACAGGCTGCAACTGCCTTAATTGCTATGTATAAACTCCTAGCTCTTAGTTCAGTGTTCCCAGCAAGCAGATGTTAAGTAAATGTTTATTTGGTTTTTATCTTCAAATAATAAAATAGTAAAATGATCTTTAGACCACCTCAGTATCTGTGTTAGGTTTTTACACTCGATCTTAGCCAAAAGGCTGAGCAGACATGTGTTAGGTTTTTTAATCTTGACTGCTTCTAGTATACATGTATTTTTTTAAAAAAATATTTATTTATTTGAGAGACAGAGTTACAGAAACAGAGAGATGAAAAAATAGAGGGATGTTCTTCCATTTGGCTGATTCACTTCTCAATTGGCCACAAGTGCCAGGGCTGGGCCAGACCAAAACCAGGGGTGTGGAACTCCATCAGGGTCTCTCACGTGGGTGGCGGAAGTCCAACTACTTCAGCTTCTGCTGTTTTCCCAGCTCATTAACAGGAAGCTAGATGGGAAGTGCAGCAGCTGGGACTTGAAGCAGCACCCGTATGTGATGCCAGCACTGCAGACAGCAGCTTTACTGGCTCCACCATTGTGCCAACTCCTGGCATACACTTTTCTTAGCAAGGAAGGAAAGTAAAAAATGGTGACATAGAGGCTTTAAAATTGGACAAAGAGAAGGCTGTTCTTTTCATGAAGAGAAATAAGGAAGTCAGGAGGAAGGAGATTCGGTTTCTTCTGTGATAAATTGAATCACTTTGGTGCCATGGCTTTTAATTTTTCTGCCCTACACGTTAAGCAGGTTGTGTCATTCACTAGATAGCTTGTATTAGTTTAAAGAGAACAGTCCCTCCCACTGGACCTTGACCCAGTAAAAACAACTATTGCCTAACTCAACTTCTCATAGTTAGTGGAACACCTGTATAACAAATCTTTTTTGTAAAAGTGGTTTTGTATATATGCATTTTTTAAGTTGTAAAAATGAATGGAAAATTTTTTATGACCCTGCTTTTGCTGTTTGTGCCGCTGGGAGAGGCACGGAAATCGTTTCTCAGTTTTCGGAATACAGGAAAAGCTGTCACACTACTCTTCATGGAGCCTGAAGAAACCATCGTTGTGAAGTCGAGTTACACAGGTAACTACAGCTACATCATCGTGCAATTAGAAGATCCAAAAATGCTGCAAGTGGTGAATGTGACCAAGACCCCATCAGATGCCACAGATTTTACCATAAACCTGGTGACAGGTGAAGAAGGAGAGACAAATCTGACTATTCAGCTCTGGGATTCTGAAGGTAGGCAAGAAAAACTACTTAAAGAAATAAAGAATGTCAAAGTCAAGGTGCAGAAACCAAGACAAGACAGTCCTTTCCAAGCGTCGTGGCTTATTGACAGAAATATCCTATTGCTTCTTTTACCAATGATATTGTTAAACAAATGTGCTTTTGGCTGCAAGATTGAACTACAGGTGTTTCACACGGTATGGAAGAGACCTTTGCCAATAATTCTTGGAATAGTAACACAGTTTTTTCTTATGCCATTTTGTGGATTTCTTTTGTCTCAGATTTTAGCTTTGCCTTTGGTACAAGCTTTTGGCTTCATTATGACCTGCACTTGCCCAGGAGGAGGAGGGGGTTATCTCTTCGCGCTGCTTCTAGAAGGAGATGTCACTTTGGCTATTTTAATGACATGCATATCAACATCATTAGCCCTGATAATGATGCCTATCAATTCTTACATATATAGCAGGCTATTAGGACTGTCAGGAACATTTCATGTTCCCGTTTCTAAAATTGTGTCAACACTCCTTTTCATACTACTACCAGTATCAGTTGGCATAGTGATCAAGTACAAAGTACCCGAGAAAGCAAAGTTTTTAGAGAGAATAATTAGACCTTTGAGTTTCAGTTTAATGTTTGCAGGGATTTATTTGACTTTCAGAATGGGATTTGTATTTCTAAAAACAGTTAATCTAGAGGTGCTCCTGCTGGGTCTCTTAGTTCCTGCTTTGGGTTTACTGTTTGGGTATTCCTTTGCTAAAGTCTGTATGCTGTCTCTTCCTGTTTGTAAAACTGTTGCTATTGAGAGCGGGATGTTAAATAGCTTGTTAGCCCTCGCCATTATCCAGTTGTCTTTCTCACAGTCCAGGGCAGACTTGGCGTCTGTGGCCCCTTTCACGGTAGCCCTGTGTTCCGCTTGTGAAATGCTACTGATCCTTCTGATTTACAAGACTAAGAAAAGATTTATCCTTACTGCAGAAATTAAAAGACAAAAAATCCCCCAGGTCTAACAAAGCAGTACTAAACTCCTACACTGAGTAGCATACTGTGGGAGATCCAAATAGGCAAAATGATGCTGTTCTTAAAGCTATTTATTATCTAGTTAAAACTGTAAAATGTAAAAAAAAGTCTGTATATAAACCATTATGCTAAGTATGCAAGGAGCTTAGCATATTATTCAGGAGCAGATAAAAGTGGCATTTTCACAACTAAGTTCGTATGAGAATGTATTAGAGAGGACGGTGTGAATATGCCATCTTACTATAGTGTCATAACGAAAAAGGAGCAAAGCCACGCTCTATTGAGTGTGATACAACCTAAATATTTAAGGAAGGGAGATCCACATAGGAGACAGTCACAAAAACAGCCTCTCAGTGAAGGAGTGTGTAAATTCCTATTGGAGCTCACACTGGCTCATTAGAAGCAGTGTCTTAAACCAAATGAAGCACCTCTGCTCCCATAGCTGTACTTCCTCCTGTCCTCCATGTCTTGCACCAAAGATATTATGGTTTATCCAGAAACACGGGGCTGTCTCTTCTCCTTACACTTTGTCCTACTCTCTTTTTTCTTAATATTCAAGCTATTTCCTATAGAAATATTCTGTAATATATTTCCCTCAGTTTATGCCCTTCCCAGTATGGTACTTCCCTTCTGCCTTCATTTACTTCTTCCCTAAACCTTTCTAAATTGGTTTTTGGTTTCTGTCTACCCTCCAGTCACTGTCAGATGAATCTTGAAAATCTAACTTTGATGATATAATTTCCTTGTAATGAAGATTTTTTTGACTTTTAAATTGTCTTTATTCCTTCATATGTTATGTATTACATTCTATTGTCTAACTTTAATCTAATTTGATCTCATCTCCTGATTCCTGATATTCATCGTTTCCTTTAGTCAAATTAAATGACATGACATCCATGCAAACCAACCTGCCTCTTTGTACAACTATTTGTGTTTTACTTGATTCCTCCTCTTTTGCTCTGTGTCTGTGAACTAAGAGTCATGTTTATTCATTTTATACTCCCTGTAATATCTAGCACAATATATTCAATGTGCTAATTAAAAAAAGTACTGAAGCACAGGCTGGAACCCAAATGAACAAAGTGGATGTGTGTGTGTGTGTATGAAGATTTATTTCTTTTCATTTGAAAGGCAGATTTACAGAGAGAAGGAGAGACAGAGAGAGATCTTCCATCTACAGGTATATTCCCCAAATGTCTGCAATGGCTAGAGCTGAGCTGATTTGAAGCCGGGAGCCAGTAGAGACTAGAACTAGTGTCCATATGGGATGCTAATGCTGGCAGGCAGAGGATTAACCTATTGAGCTACTGTACTAGTCCCAACAATGTGATTTTTTTATACTAGTTTGGAATTTTCCATGGAAATGTCACTGTCTAGGCCCAGTTTGTGCTCTTCTCCAAGAGAAGAAAACATTTATCAAGAATAGAAAATATAATTGTAAATAATCCTCTCCCTGTCTCCTAGAAGTGGGTGTGGGTAAATCATTGGATTTTCCTAGTTAGTCCAGTTACTTCATCCAAACATGGAGGTGGTAACATCAGCTCTATCAGATTGAGTAGCGCATGCATGTGCTGGGTACATCATGAGTGCCTAGTGTGAACTACCATGCTTGTTTTCTCAGGTTTGAAACTTCTGGCTCTGATATATTTTCTGATGGGTTGGGATATCAATTTGGTAGTTGTTTATGAGACTAAATGCTTAACATTCTCTTATTATTATTATTATTCACAGTTTGAACCATAGTATTTGGAACTTTTGTTTATATTGCTGGCTAATAAGATAACCAAGGGCTTTTTATTTTGATGTCATCAGATTCAACATATGAATAACAAAATTTATAAAGACCTAAGATATGTGATTTTACAACATCTGATTACAATGTTTTCCTGCATTGATATCGATTTCTATATGCTCTCTTATATAGAAATCTCTGCTTAGAGCTCGGAAATATAATGAAATTCATGCAAGTCTAATTTATATACATTTTAATGACCATAACTGGGACACAGGAGACCTACCCTTCTAGCTGTGTTTCCTCATTAACATTGTGACCTGGAGCAATGGACTTCTTTGTGATTCAATTTTCAAATCTGAAAAAAAATAAATCCCTGAGCCAAGGTTAATATCTTGCTCAGTTCTGTAACAGTCTGTGATTCTGGTATAACATGTTAGACCCCAGCACCATATTCCATCCACCATAAGTGGATGGAACAAACTGAACAACATTCAGGGTTACAACAATAACTACCCACTGTTGTTGCTTTCTCATTAGAACAGCCACCAAAATACAAGCTTCCTGAGGGCAGGAAATGCATAGTATTTTTTTTTTGTAGTTAATACAGACTATTTTTTAAATCCCATACTTGGTTTGCACAATGCACTAAAGAGAGCATATGCCCTTTAAACATTTATTGGTAAATCAGCATTTCTACATACAAAGATCCATCTTCAACTCCAGCTCTTGTCAATTCACCATCTCTGTGGCTACATCATATAGAAAACAGGGATAATAAGAGTACCTACCTGATGGTGTTGTTGTGAGGGTTAAATGAGTTAATGTTATGTCCTCAGAATAATGTCTAAGACATAATAATGTAAAGTATTACTGTTACTATATCCATGTTTGAATAAAATCATAAAGTAGTTGAAAGTGTATAGATAAACTTTATAATATGTTTTATTTATTTTTTGTATGGTTCATGGAAGAAAAATTTCTTCACAGTTAAATTTCTTTGAAACTGTTGATGGGATTGAAATCATCCAAGTTTTTAAAATTTTTTCAAAGTTTTAAAAATGAGCGCTATAAACCAGGCTTTCTAAGCAGTTCAGTTCATACCAACTACCTTATATAGCTACAATGAGCAAAATCTACAAAAATTTATGCCAGATTTTTTTAAAAAAAATTCCAGCCTGTAAGAGATTTTTTAGATTAAGGTATAATTCCAAGAATAATAATTCTATACATGTGAGCATATTCTTAAATCTGGGAAAGATGTCAGCATTATAGGGACATGGTCAAAGTTTTAACCCATACTACAGCTCCAACCTATATTATATCAAAACATGAAATCTTTTCAAAATTTTATTTTAAAAATCTTTTTAATATTGTTTGCATAGTTGAGAGGGCTGCATGCCTATGTGGACCTCAGATTAGGGTGGGGAGGTTCACGTTATGGAGGAAGGTGGGTAGGAGAAAGGGGCTTGGTGGGGTTGGAGTAGGGTCACTGCTTGCAGTGACTTCGTCACATGTAGGGTCAAATACATCAACACCCAGAGATGGAGGGTGCTATTTGAAGTCTTAAAGACTTCAGTGTGGGGAAGCATGTTCTGACGGTGTTGCTTGACTGGATTTGATAGTTCTGAGATGTTGGTTTTGTTGCTCCAAGGCTGAGAAAATCTTTTTAGTGTCTGTTTGTGGACAGCATCCAGCTTAGTGCCTCCACAGTCCCAGACACTTGCTGCCAGGCTTGGCTATGAGAGTTGTTGGTCCTATTACACCCTCCATCCTGAGGAGGCACTTGCTCTCCACTGCTAGCCTAGATGAGCTGGCTGCCATGTCCTTTGGCCCATCTGTGTATGCTTTTCCACTGCTTGGGCAACAGGTTCAATATGTGTATGCCAAACAAAACATATATTTCACTCTTGAGGAGTTGTGCTGATGTATGTATTAATCATTGAGAGCCAAGTCCACTAAACAATGAATAATGAAGACAGTCTGGGAAAGTGGAACCTAAATTGTCCTCTAGTGAAAAGAATTATGGCCAATCAGCTCCAGACTTGTGGGGTCTCCCCCACAGATTCCTTTAGTATCCTGTTACCAGAGGGGATGAACCTGCCGCCCACCACCCAACCTCCCGGCCTGCGAGAGACAAACAGACGGACAGGGGTTCTGTCTAAGCAGTTCCGATTTATTGGGAAAATTCAATTTCTTATATAGGGTAAGGGATAGCCTCAGGCCAGGAATTTCGGGAATTCCAGGAGGGGAGAAACTAGGATCCAATTACTAGGAGAATGACTGTGGAAGCCACCTACCATAGCCAGGGGTAGGTGAGTGAGATGGCCCTGGTCAATCAGTATTTCCTTGGAGCTACGTGACTCCTGCCCTGGTTCATGCCCAGGGCTCTGTCCTTGGCTGCCATCTTGCCCACCAGTGACCTGGACTGTTAGTTGCCATCTTAGTGACCTCTTTGCTCCCGAACCTCACACTGACTAAGAAAAGCTAGCAAGATTCCCACAATGTCTGAGGAAAAGTCCCAGTGAAGGTCCCTCTTTATAATGTAAACACAGGACAGTTAGAAACCTGTCATTTATGGGCAAAGATGGCCATTTGTGTATAATTGGGTGTTCAGAGCATTAAATTCAACCATTGTTCCAATTAGAATTTTACTATAACTAGAACCTCCAATGGGGTCAGAGGCCAGGAGAGGGTATCGAAGACCTAAACACAGAAATTCACTGCTAGGGAGTGATGGGAGCATGATTTTGACTCTAGATAAGAGAACAGGACAAAGTCAAATGGGCAAAGTTCTGGAGTAAGAAGTCAGTTCCTAAGGAGTACTTGTTGCATCTTCATTGGCTGTGGTGGTAAACTGAATGCAGTAGGGCCTAATGGTCAATCTCCAGGGTTTCAATGTATTCAGAAATGCAGAGCTTTTTATTTTTTGGTTTGGCCTGAAGTTATCAGCCAGTTTCTCTATCTGTACTCTCCTGACATCTCAGGAGTTTTATCATCACATTCACGTAGTCAGGTCTATGCAGCTGCCTGAATTATTTTCATGGAATCCAGTAAGATCTTTTGAGTTGTGTGGGACAGTGCGCCACTTTGACCACTGAATCTGAACATTGGATTGCCCTGTGCACTGGTAGATGTATCACCTCACTTTCTTTATTATTATTTTTATCTTCCACTCACTGGTTCACTCCCCAAATGACTGCAGTGGCTAGAGCTGAGCTGATCCAAAGCCAAGAGCCAGGAGCTTCTTCCAGGCCTCCCACATGGGTTCAGCATCCCAAGGAGCTGGGCCATCCTCGCTGCTTTCCAAGGCCATAAGCAGAGAGCTAGATCAGAAGTGGAGCAGCTGGGACATGAACTGGCGCCCACCTGGGATGCTGGTACTTGCAGGTGGAGGATTAATCGGTTGAGCTGCCATGCCAGTCCTTCACTTCACTCTCAGAAGGTATTTGGAAGCAAAAGAATCTCTGGTCTGAACAGACTGTCTCCTGAGAACAACTGTGACACAGCAACTAAGACCTCTTGGACAAAACTGGACTTGCTGCTCATTTGAAACAGCATACCTAAAGTGGTTTTAATTTGGAAGAATAAGACATCATCCTTTTCTCTATCTTACTTGAAACTATGCTGATTTTAGAAGCTTCGCCAAATCATGGGAACATTGTCTATTGAAAAACATTAACGAATGAAACCCTTATAGAAGATGCTGACATTTCTGCAAATGCCTGGAAAATTTTATTCTGTTACAAATCAACATTAGTCAGAATGTGGTGGGCAAGATTTTCATTTTAACATGATTGACAGTGAAAAACCAATAAAATAGTTTCTGAAGGAGTTTTTGGTGACAGCAAAGATATTATTGGATATACAAGTATCCAAATCAGAGGCTTAAGGTATCATTCATTCATTACAAGAATGAAGACACAGATGGCTCCTCGTGTGGTTCAAGGATCGGGTCCACAGCTCACACCCTTCATTCGCCTCAGAGGTGCTTGGCATCGGTAACTACATCTTGTCTTTTGATTAAGCCAAAGGACAGGATTTCCCTGCTAGCAGGGAAGCAGATAACCCATTTCTCTAGTCCCAGTGTGTCGAGGACAGATGTGCAATGCCTTTTGCAGTATGGTAATGCACCAGAATAATTGTAGGGTCAGATTTGCTATTGTAAGAAGAGGAAACATTTCAAGCACCATGTACTAGACTTTGCACTTCACATGATGCAACCTCATATACGTTCCATGTGTAGGGATTTTGGAGTTGGGGTATTCTACTCTGCTCTTGCCATGTGACCTCAGGACAAACCATTACCATTTCTGAGTTGTCAGTTTTCTCATCACTAGCATGAAGCCAATCATACCTTCTTCATGGAACTGTGATCACGTTTACGTTAAACAATGCACATAAAATACAGCTGCCTGAAGTACGGTATTCAGACGAGTGACGAATAGAAACAACTGGACCTGGTTCTCAATTATAACAAAGCCTAGGTCTAGTCAGCATGGGTTTAATAAACAGTTGCACAAGCGAAGAAATACCTTGAATCTGTGCTCTGTTCAAAATATTAGTATTGAATACAAAAAGGAAATTTTTAAAAATGTAGACAAGAAATGGCAAGCAGGAGAAGGGAAGATGGAAGGACCGGAGTAAGCCAGAAGTCGGTGTTGAGGCGCAAAGCTGGTGTGCGGCGTCATCACCAGTCCTGGGGAACCCACCGAGATTAAAGCCCAGCTCCGGCACTGGGCGGTCCCCAGGAGGCCACGCCCCGGGGGCGGACCTTGCAGAGGCGGGACTTCCTGTCCCGGGCAGCCCCTCTGCCTCCGGAAGAGCTGAGTCGTGGATGCCGCCGGCTGCGTCTGGGACGGCTGAGGACGTGAGGTGAGAGCCGGGGTGTTGCCTTCCTCCCTGGCCGGCGGGGAGCGGGCTCGGTCGGCGTGGCGGTCAGCGTGGCACCCCGAGCCGCCGCCCCGTGTCTCCGGGAGGAGCGGTTTGTCGCTGCGGGACGGCCGGCGCGGGGTCCGTCCAACCTCGCTGTCCGGCGACAGGGACTGCAAGGTGGAGCCCAGCCCTTGCGATGGTGGTGTGGGGGAAAGGAAAGTTCCTAAGACGTAGCCCCTCTGAAGAAATGAGAAGACACGGCACGTGTAAGGGGGGCATTGCAGGTCTGCCTGCATGGTGTGCCAAGTTTTCTCTGTCCCTTCCTGAGGAGTGCAGTGCAGACCCCCGACCTCTGCTGCTGTGTGCTCATATTATAAAGGTGTTGGTTTACATTAGCAGCTATGAGATCTGGTCCCCCCTTCTCTGTCCGTGGCCGAGGTGGAAAGCCCGGGCGTCCTTCACACACACTCTCTCTCTCCCTCTCTCTCTAATAGCGGTATTTGTTCTGTTGCTAAGCTTTCTTTCCCAAAGCAAATGATGTCTCTTGCCCCAACTCCTCTGTCTACAGCCTTTCTCCTCACACCTGGGAGAAGAATGACAAAAGGCACAGTTTGCAGCAGTTCTTGAAAAGTTCCTATTGTGAGAGGAGTTAGGCTGGGTAGTAGGCAGTTAGGGAATTCTGGGTCCCCAAGTCATTTTTCCTCAAATATAAAAGAATTTTTTCCCCACCATGTCTTGGATTCACCAGAGCACGTCTCTTCCAAGGGACAAGGGTGATATTAGCATATCAATTGCCCACCTGAAGTATCAGCCATTATCTCTGGCCATTGTATAGGAGGGCCTCAGGCTGGTCTCCTTATCATTGAAGGACTGGAGAAAATAGTACTCATTCCCAAGGCCAGGAATGTCCAAGGTCTGACACCTGTTTGATCTTTTGCCCCAAACCCAGATACCAGGGGGACCAGGAATTTCCTTTTGTCCTTGGAGAGCCCCTTTGAAGTAAACCTTTAAAAGGTGCGTACCCCACTATTAATACGGGTCTCTTTTTCTACTCTTCCTCCTGCCACTCTGGCAGGGGGTAAGGGTCTTTCCTCTTTTCCTCCTGCCACTACAGCGGGGGTTAAGGGTCTTTTCTGTCTCGGAGCCCCCTCCCGTCACTAGGACAGGAGTCTCCTTTCTCAACTTCTCTAATAAAAGCTAAACTGTGTCCGCACGAAAATTCTTCTTTCCTGCGAGACAAGAATTGCGGTTGCTGCCGTATTTGGGATCAAAAAACCCTACAACACTAAGAGTTACTTTTAACTCAAGAATAAGGGCTTGTGCTTTAAACTCTTTCAAAAGCTTACATCAGGAAGATGAAACACTTAGCGGAAGCCCAACAGTGGCCGCCCTTCCTCCTGCCCTCCTTGCCTCTGCTCTGCTAGAACGTGGTAATCCTGATTGAGATGTTTGAGTAGTCTTCTACGACCTGGTCAGTTTTTCCCCATTTTAAAGAAGACAACACTAAGGTTGTTTTATTCATAACACATTTTCTGAGGTTGGCAGCTTTAAAGTGGCCAGTGCATTCAGTACACATGTTATTACAGTGCGGTTGAAGCTAACACTGCTATTTTAGTCTCCAGGAGTCAGTGGAAAGCTGGGATAGTTGAGAACTCAAATATGTTTGCTTCCCCCACGCCTGAAACTCCTGGAAATAAGTTTTATTGTAGCCTTAAGAACTTTTTTTCAATCCTGGAGTCTTCCATCAGAATATATACAAGTCTTCATATCCTTTTTCTAAAATACTTGGGGCCAGAACTGCTTTATAGATTTTGGAATATTTGTACATATATAATGAAATATTCTGGGAATAAGACCAGGTTTAAACGATTTGTTCCTGTTTCATGCACCCCCGGTACACAGAGCCTGCAGGTGGTTGTGCACAGGTTCTGTGTCCCTGTCTGCTGTGACCAATCGTGCTGAGGTCAGGTTTGGAATTTTCCACTTGTGGCTCTGCATCCGCGCTCACAAAAGTCCCAGGTTTTGGAATGTTTCAGATTTTCAGGGTAGGAATAATAAATCTAATAGAGCTGCAGACTGTTGGAGCTGTTGAGTTTGTGACAGTGTCATGAGACTGGGACCTTGGGTAGATGACTTCTCTGAGTCTCCAGTTCTCTGTGTTCGCAACCTTGTAGTAGTACTTCCTTTGCAGAGCCCTTAGCTGCCTGCTACTCAGCACAACCGTCTTGTGTTCCTTGCCTTTTTTTTTTTTTTTTTTTTTAGATTTTAGTTACTTTTATTGGAAAGTCAGATTTACAGAGAGGAGAGACAGAATTATCTTCTGTCTGCTGGTTCACTCCCCAAGCTACTGCAGTGTCAGGAGCTGAACTCATCCGAAGCCTGGAGCCAGGATCCTCTTCTGGGTCTCCTACACAGGTGCAGGGTCCTAAGGCTTTGGACCATCTTTGATTGCTTTCCCAGGTCACAAGCAGGGAGGTAGATGGGAGGTGGAACAGCCAGGATTGGAACCGGTGCCGTATGGGCTCCTGGTGTGTACAAGGCAAGGACTGTGGCCACTAGGCTACCATGCTGGGCCTGTGTGTCTTGGTTTCACTGCTTCTTCTATTTCTGTATTCCCAGTGTTTCTCATTTTCATTTTGTTCTCCACACAGACTTGTACCTATCTTTTAAAATGCTTCCTGAGTCCTTTATTCCTTACTTCGCAAACAAGTGGTTTTTCCTGTTTGATTTTGGCTTTTTGATATGATAAAGTATGCACACATTGGGAGACAATTTTATAGAATGGTTTTTTTGTAATGAAAATGTTTCTACAGCAGAGGTAATTTAGATTAAAACTGATTTTACAAAGCCTGTGCATAAACCTTCAATAACTAAACTCTAGGATAGGCAAGGGAAGCCTTTGGCTGTAGATGGCTTTTGTGAACTGATTTGTACAACGAACAGATGAGATCCGTGACTGCTGTGTTCTCTGTTGCTGTGTCCAGGAGATGGCTGACCCTTGGCAGGAATGCATGGATTATGCAGTGACGCTGGCCAGGCAGGCTGGAGAGGTAAGGAGTGATATTTGTCTGTGGTGATGTGGCTGAAGGCAGAATGTGGTTACTTTTTTAAATAAAACTTGTATTTTGATGAATTCACAGTTCTTTCTTTCTTTCTGTTTTTTTTTTTTTTTTTTTAATTTACTGAACACGTTATAAATACAGTGACTACTCCAGGTTTTACAGGATGAAACTTGAGCGCTAAGAATGTAGAATTTTGTCCTTAGTCGCTTCTAACCTTTACAGGTTTACTCTGTAGACATTTTTGCAAGAAAACTTTTTGTTTATGTCACTTAAGACATGTTACAGTGGTTTAAACTATTTCTGTATCTCATCTTACTGTTTAAGATTATTGAGGCTGTTTTTGCTTGTTTAACAAAAAATCTTTTTCAGGTGGTTCGTGAAGCTCTGAAAAATGAAATGAATGTTATGATTAAAAGTTCTCCTGCTGATTTGGTGACGGCTACTGACCAAAAAGTTGAGAAAATGCTTATTGCTTCCATAAAGGAAAAATACCCGTCCCACAGGTATTTCTTACTTCGATTTCATACCATCAAATGATTAACCTAGGTTGTTGTCAGGTAGCTCAGGCAAATTCAGGGCAACGAGAGAGGCCCAGCTGTAGAGGTGCGGGGTATGGTGTGGGTGTGGGCAGGCCTTTCATCTGTGGCACCCTTTCCAGGGACAAGTCTGCAGGACCCTGAACTTGCTGCCCATGCGCAGCCGGCCAGCAAGGAAGAGGCAGCATTCGGATTCCTTCTTTTTTCTTCTTAACTTACAGAGTTGAGAGCAATGCTTGCCCATGTGGGCCTCAGAGAGGGTCGGGGTGGGGATTCCTTTTTAATAAGAGGGATGTTGCAATGTTGTGGGAAGTTAATGTGGGAAATGTTTACTGTTGTCATGATTTAGAAGTTTGATTTTATTCGTCACATTGCAGACTTCTTCATATGGGAGGGTGACAGACACAATTCCAGAATCAGACTTTGATTCTCACATGGAAGCCATGGCAGTGTTCTTTCTGTACTTCCTTGTTGGTCGTTCTTGGTCTTTCTAACATTTGGAAAGAAGAAAAAAATGTTGAAAGTTATAGCCAAATCCTCTAAGCAGAAAGGTTTAAAGCTCAAAAAAGAGGAGAAAAAAGAAGAAGATGGTAATTATTGTTAGGACAATTCAGTGTTGAATAAGGGAGCATAAATAAAAAATAGGAAGGAAGAAAGCCAGTGAGCTGGAATTCCACTTCCGGAGTTAACGTTAGCTTGATAGCAGGGAGTGTTTTAGGCAGTCATGTACCCATGGTGGGTGATGTGCTTTCTCGAAGTGCTGTGTGTTAGTTGTCAATTACTGAGATGCACATGATCCTAAAAACTTTGAGGTGTAGATGGTAAGCATTTATTGTCACACAGTGTCCTCACTCTGCTTAGCTGCCCGTTCTCGGCAAGACCGCTCATGAACCTGTAGTCAGGTTGTCGGTCAGGTCCACAGTCATCACAAGCCTCAGCTGGGACTGCAGGCTGTGCTCCTTCACGGACTTGTTGGCAGGCAGTTCCCTGGGAGGAGGCTGCTGCCAGCTGCCCCAGTTCTTTGGATGCAAGCCTCTTCATGGGCAGCTCACTCCCTGGCAGCTGGCTTCTCCTGAGGAACAAGATGGAAACCGTAGGGTTGTGGTGTGAACTGATCTCTGACTGACACACTGATTAGAAATGAGTCACTTGGTCTTGTATCCATCATAGACAAGGATATTGGGTTGTACAACCCAAAGAGAGGGATATTAGAGAGTTGGTGAACTTAGTTTTAGAACCATCACATTTGATTAATTTCTCCTATGCAACAAATGCTGTTTCAGATGTACACGTGTGGCAGTCACACTGTAGAATTGTGAGTTTTGTGACTTTACACATGACTTTGCTCTGGGGACGTAAGGATTCCTCCCTGCTGTGACTGTAGGAAGGAGAAGGGGCGGTTGGGAAGGAGTACAGAGACTTTTGGTAGGTTTTGTGTCTTTGAAGATGGTTGAGAGTCGAGTGATACTCAGGAGCTTCGTCTTGCTTGTTTGCAGTTTCATTGGTGAGGAGTCCGTGGCAGCTGGAGAGAAGAGTGTCTTAACCGACAACCCCACGTGGATCATTGACCCTATTGATGGAACCACCAACTTTGTTCATAGGTACGGCTTTCGGTTGTCAGTATTGCCAGTTTATACAATAGCCCAGTTGTCCTTTACAGCCATTCATCCAGGAAGGTGTACTCTTTGGAGAATTGTGTAACTTGCTTATTCTTTTTTACTCTTAGAAAATATGTATAAATTGTGTACGAACTTAGTGTTCAGCCTGACACAAGAGTCAGTGTGTTCTAACTCAGTATTTTATTATCACTAGAAGAAAGCACAGTGGGTGGTATATGGGAGTTAAAGTGATAGTCCAGTTTGGTAAGATTATACATAAATATTATATTTGAAGATACTATGTAGCTGAACATATTTCTATTGTATATAGAATTATTACAGTGTGTAAGGTTAAGGTCTAGAATATATGAATATGAAATTGTCAAATATTTTAAATGTGGAAAGATCTTCAAAATAAGATTGTGATACACTGTGATAATATTTTTGCTAAAACTACAATGTTAGATATTTAACCTTTCATGCGTGAAGCTCCAGATTGCATGTTGTGGTAAAAACAGATAACTGGTTTTTATAATTTTAGCGTGAGACCAGGATGTGCCAAAACAATTACTAAAGAAAGGAGACTTTTTTTTTTTTTTTTTTTTAAAGATTTATTTTTATTATTTTTTTATTGGAAAGGCGGATATACAGAGAGGAGAGACAGAGAGGGAGCTGGAAGGGAACCGGGCTGCCAGGATTAGAACCGACGCCCATATGGGATCCCGGGCGTGCAAGGCGAGGACCTTTAACCACTTGCGCCACTGCGCTGGGCCCAAGAAAGGAGACTTTTTTTAAACCACGATCAGTTCAAACATTTTAAGATTTATTTGTATGTTTTGGAAAGGAACTATATAATGTACATATAGTAGTTATTATAATGTTTGATATTCAGAACATTTAAAATGGGGAGAGGGCTAAGAGTCACCTGGAATCCTCTCTGGAGGTGACCGTGTGGTCGATTTTGTGATAATTTCTTCAGTTATGTTACATGCCTGTGGATGCACCCTTCCCCATTGTATCTGTGGGTAGGAGAGCACTTTAAAAAGTTCACAGATAAAAGTGAATTAAAAGGTGATAGACATTTCCATGAACTTTGTAAAAATCCCACATATTTACTACTCTTTTCCCTCTTATTTTACATAAAGTATTATATATAATATACTGTGTTTTATATCTGGCTTGTTTGGGGAGGAAAGGAAGGATTGTGCTATTTAAATGAAAATTTTTGTAAGTACCCACATTATGAATAGATAAATTTTATTGAACTGGTTTATCTTACTAAATTTGCATTTTTTTTCAAAGGTTTCCTTTTGTAGCTGTTTCGATTGGCTTTGTTGTAAATAAAAAGGTATGTTGTTTTAAATATGTGATCGATAAAACATGTTATTCTTGTTTTGTGAGAAAGACTAACTTTATCTCCGTAATTTAGATTTGACTTCAATTTATATTGCTGTATTATTTTGAATATACACTACAAGATCACTAAACACTTCATGACAGATTTCCAAGGAAGGAAATACAGTGTTTTCTCAGAGCAGTAGTTGTAAGAAAATTCATGTAAAGAACTGAAATACAATTCAGTATTTAAACTGTACTAAAGGAATGGATGTGAGGTGCAGCAATGAAGATGGGTATGATATTGCTTAGGACTTTGGGGTCAAGTTCAGACTCTGCTTTGATTCCACCTTCCTGCAAATGGCCACTGAGAGGCAGCAGGTTCCTGGGCCCCATCACCTGCATTGCAGAACTGGACTGAGTGCTTGGCTCCTGGTTCTCCCATGCTTTCTGTGATCATTTGGGAGTAGAGTGAGCTAGCGAGGGCAAGGTCTCAGTGTGTGTTACTGTCTCTCTCTGTCTCTTTCCCTTTCAGATAAGGGGAAAAAAAAGTTAAATAGAAAACAATTAAAACATAATGCTCATTAAGAAAAATTGACACTACCATGTATGTGATAGTAGAGTCACGTATGGTAAGAATTGCCTTGGGAGCTAAAATGCTTTGTAGAAGTAGATGTTTAATCAAGTGGTTAAGACACTTGCTTTCTACTTTGGAGCACTTGGGAGACAACGATGACGTCACAATGACCTAGAGCCTCCTCCAGGTCTCCCATGCAGGTGTGGGGCTGGGGGACTTGAACCATCCTCTGCTGCTTTCCCAGGACATTGGCAGAGAATTGGTTTGGAAGTGGAGCCAGCAGCACTCACACCTACGCACATGTGAGATGCTAGCACCACAGGTCAAGGCTTAGCTGGCTATGCCAGGGTGCCAGCCCAAAAGACAGTGATTTAAGCAGAACACCTTGGAGAACCTGAAGTGCATGCTCTTTGAGGGTAGCAGTGAAATGTTCATCAAAGCAGTAGTGGCCTTACTGTGAGGTCTCCGGTCCGTTAACTTGAGGAAATTTAGATTTTTGTTTCTAGGAAGTTGGAAACTAGAGGATATTTGTAAATGGAAAGAGAGGTAATTCCAACAGTGTAGGGATTATGCTGAAGGGATGATTCTGAACAAAGGTGAAGAATGAGAGTATCCATGGAAATATAAAATCAGGAGGTATTTTACAATATAAAAAGTGAAGAATTTTGTGGAGAAGGAATGAGACATGATGAGGCACTGATTGATTTTGAACTCAGGTTTCTGCAAGATTTTGTTCTGAAGCAAAGATTTGTATCTCTGCTACCAGGGTTAATGGGAGGCAGAATTGTGGGTAGTAGCTGAATTTGTGGAACAAGAAAGGGCCAATCTGTAAGAATACGGAGAACTGAAAGCGGAAGTGGAAGCAGTGGATGAAGGCGAAACAACTTCTAAGGGCTAAGCAGAAAGGATGTTCAGAATCACACCGAGTGCGTTGCACTGATTGGGTGAAATAAGAAGACCAAGAGGATACTGGAGGTTTTGAATTAAGTGCTAAAGAAGTGTTGGTGGTGGCCAGCAGTCTCCAGTCCTTTAGATAAGGTGGATGAGGACACTACGAGTTCACTGGTGATCTCTGTGTGGCAGGATGACTGGTCAGGATAGAAGTAATGTGATTGCAGGGAGATTAGACTATGCAGTGTAAAGGCAAAAGCAGGTTTCATAATCACCTTAATTCACTTGATATAACAAAAGACTGGAGGTAGGATATTTTGCAGTGCAATTTTAGTGGTGTGTGATTCAGAAAGTCTAAGGCCAAGGTGCTGACTGGTTCATGAAAGGTGGCCTCATTGTCTTCTTCCCAGACCTTGGACGTTATGTCTTCCAGTGGGGATCAGGAAGCATCTTCATATAGCAGAAGGTGGAAGGGACGATAGGGAATTCATCTCTGGAAGCCCCTTCATTAAGCCTTTATTGTGTCTTAGAGTCCTTCTGCCCTAATTGCTTCCTACACTATTGCGCCTATAATTAAATTTCAGCATCAGCTTTGGAGAACACAGGTTTGAACTATAGCAGCAAGGGATAGAGACACTTCATGAAAATGTACCAGAAAAGAAATGTAACAGGAGGAGGAACCAGTTGATGGAACAATTTGTGAGAGACCCTGTGAGGCCAGGAATTATGACACAGAAGCTAATGTTCAATATAGGAAATAGAAGCATCTGAGACTGAACAGAGGAGGTGTCAGGGTGCTGCTACCAGAGTTTAGAAAAGGATTGAAGGCAAGTAAAAAGGTTGTAAGCATGCTAACCTCTTTGTTAAGGCTAGATTTTAGCATTATAAATGTAACCATTTGAATATAGTACTACTGGTATACCTGAGTTTGATAGTGCTTTCTCAATAAGAGTATGGTTTTATAAAGAAAACTCGGATTCAGTAAGGAAAACTTGTTTTCCTGCTGCAGATGGAATTTGGAGTTGTGTACAGTTGTATAGAAGATAAGATGTATACTGGCAGAAAAGGAAAAGGTGCCTTTTGTAATGGCCAAAAGCTTCAGGTTTCACAACAGGAAGGTAAGTTTATCATCCAATTTTTGTGTTGTTGATAACTGAGTACTTTTTTCCTGTTTTTAATGTTAACCAGTGGAGTTCTCCACATGTTAACAGTTTCATGGAATGTGGTTCCCCCCACCCCACTTTTGACTACATTTTTGAGTATGGTGGTAGAAGCAAGGGAAGCAGTGTAATTGAGCAAACACACTTCAGGCTGTTTTTATTAGGGCGTTGCAAACTTGAACATGAGACCAGGTTCCTGCCTACCTTTGTAGAATCCATGGTTTCTCATTACAGCTCCTGTATCAAGCTCCTCATGCTATTCCTCTGACAATCAGCCACTGGACCAACATAATTATATAATAAGTTAAAAAAAAAAGACAGTTTAAAACTGGGAATCATGTTTAATAAACTAGATGAGTGTATTTGAAGTCTTTTGCTTATATGATAGCTGAATGAAATTTTGAGTCCCTTTCTTCTGTTAACCATATTCAACATGTTTCCAGTTTGTACTTTTAAAGGAATATAGAACAGCTTGAGACAGTCTGAATTCAGAAGGCTTCTAGGTATTATATTTTTGCCCCAGTCAAAAATGTAGCTTGAGAGATTTCTAGTTGTTTCCTTTTTATTTAGCTCTTAACATGCAACATAGAACTGAAGGAATGTGATAGCTTTCATAGAATTTACTGCATTTTTATGTTTATATTTCAGTTTATTTAATATATAACCTAATTCAGTGACTGTTAGAAGTAGTACATGGGAAGAGTGGAAATGTGAGGAGTGTTAGAGTGTACAAACTGAAATCACAGCATATTCCAGGGAAATGCAAGTCACAGGCAATGAATCAACCTAGACAATAGAGGACAGATTTTAACTGTGGCTTTAATTGCAAATTTGTGCTTAAAATTCCTAGTGAATTTAACTTCTGATTTGTTTACTTTTAAAATATTTTTGCTCGTTCCCTACAAGAAGGAAGATTGATTTATTAATTACAAATATAATTTATTATATTCTGTACTTTTTGGGTAAAGATCATGGAAGCTAAATTTTTTGTAAAAATTTTGACAAGGATAATAAAATCATCACTATTCATTTTTTAAGGCTTAGAAGCAGATTTAATAAAGCTAGGAAGAAGAATACAAATGCTTAGTCTAAATTAGAAGTGTCAGCTTTTGGGTTGTTGATTATTGCTATCTAGTGATTATTTTATATGTTTTATTTTTAGATATTACCAAATCACTCTTGGTGACTGAGCTGGGCTCTTCCAGAACACCAGAGACTGTAAAAATCATTCTTTCTAATATGGAGAAACTTCTTTGCATTCCTGTTCATGGGTAAGATTTCCTAGCTAAGAGTCCAGATCATTTAACGTTGTAAAGGACTGTGCTTTGTTACAGCTAGGAAAATGTTTACTAATAGACATGGGGTCAATACCATAATTGTAATTTTGAGAAGCAATTTTGGAGACTTTATTTGAAAATCATTTCAAACTTGTAAAATTGTAGAGGTAGTGTGAACAACAGTTGTATAATCCTTATCTGCAGTCACGTGTTTGTGTCTGACTCCATTGTTTGACCATTTATATTCTGTGTGGATGGATGTGTTCCTGGGCGTGCTGTGACTCCTTTATTTCTGAATCCTTTATTCACTTCCTCAGAATAATCTCTTGAATAGCCATGGTATAATTACTGACTTTATCAGTGGACTTTCGTCCACTCTGCCACCTATATTCAGTTGTGTCAGTGGACCTAATAATCCCTTTGTGGCATTTTTCTTTCTCCAGTGGAAGATTTGGACTAGATTTGGCGCTGCGTTAACTTACCAGGTCTCTTTAGCCTCCTTTAATTTAGATGGTTTCTGTGACCTAAATCTGTTAGCTGTACTCGTCAGTTTCTGGTTTATCTCAGGAGTTATTTCCCTCTTGTCACTTGTTATTTAGTATATTTGGGCCTTTTTTGTTCTTTCTGATATGTTTCAATGTTGTTACATTACCTGGTAATAGGTATATTTGGTTTAGTTTTTAAAAGAACCAGGATAATAATTTATTAATTTCATCTACTGCTTCTCTCCTGTATCTTATTTTCATTCTTGTAGCTTCTTTTGGTTCACTTTGGTTTCCTTTCTTTTCCTTTTAAATGGGATATCTATTAATAAAAATATTTAAGCTGCGATTTTTCTTTTTACCTCATTTTTTCTCCTAGTTCATTCACCTTATTTTTTAGTGTTTTTTTCTTTTCATAGTGTCTATGCTTGTTGATTCCTAGAAATGCTGACAATAGATCTGTGGATTTTCTGTCTTCCTTGTTAATGTAATTGGTCTCTTTTTTTTCCAAGGTAGACAGGACATCTCAGTCAGGATGCCGCTCTTACAGACCAAACCCCCGGAGTCTTGTAATGAAAAATTTGTCAGTCTCTAAATTAAAAGCAAAGGTTTATCTTTAACAAGGTACCATTTGAGAACCTTAGGCTTAATATAGCTACCAGCTTTATTTAGTAGCATTTCTCTGACGTTTATTGTGGTTGCTTAAAAAACCATACTTTGAAAAGCTGTGGAATAAAATATTTTTATGGTTTTATTTCACCATTAACTCTTCTACATTTTCCTCCCTGAGAACAGTATCACTGACGTGTAAGACTCTTAACTGATCAAAATCGGCAGCTAATCCTCTCTAATGTTGTTGAGAGGTTGGCTGAGGCTTAGAGCAGCTGTTTGTGAATAAGGCTAGAGCTTTGGCTTCCAGATACTTTCTCTTTCTCCAGTGTAAGAATCCCTTTTAGGAGTTGGGACACTCAGGATATAGCTTGCCCGTTGTCCCAGCTGTAGTTATGGGGTCAGTGTGTGGCCTGTGGCAGTACTCGGGTAAGAGCGTGGGTCCCTGGTATGTAGGTACAGAGCCTTTCCCGACACAGTACTGCAGGGAGCTGGTCTCAAGTAAGGACTTTAGCCATTAGGCCATAAAATGATTCTATTGGCTGTAAAAGAGTGCCAAGGGGTTTACAACTTGAACCTTTTATTTTGCTGTTGGATAAAGTAAAAGGAATTTTTTTTTTTTCAATCAGGATTTCTTTTTCAAAACTAAAACCAGGAAAATGTTACCAAGGAGCAGTGCTGATTTGCTTTCGTTGTAGGATCTCTTGCATTCAGATGACTCTTCAGTTTTTCAGTGTGATTTCTGAATTGTTTTTATGGAACAAAGTGAACCTGAAGAGTCATAAAACAGATGCCTTAAACAAGGAGAAGCATCTAGTAGCTCTTAACTAAGAGATAACGTCTAGGAGATAAAATGAAATCTTGTCAATCCATTGCCTTTGTTAAATTTGGAATTCAGTAGCTGAAATCCATTTTGTATGTGGTATCAAGCTTGCTGGCATCATGGCTTTATGAATAATTTCATCATACTCATAATTAGTTGAAATTAAGGCCCATTTATGTGTTAAGAAATCTACTAGTTACTACGTAAATCATTTGTAAAAAAGTCATTACGAAAGTGGTCTAAGGTAAGTTGCCAGTACTATTCCAATGACAGGAAAGCTAAAACTGTTTTGAAGGTCATGGCCAACTGTCTGTGACACCGAAGACCTCTTTGCTCTGTCCGCTGTAGCACTACAGGTGGGTCAGGCTGTGGTACATATTCTGCACGGTAGTCTTAACGACCTACCAAGCAGTCTTTTTTTTTTTTTTAATAATTCTTTGGTAATATTTATCTATTAAGGGGTATGCTCTTGCTGCCTGCGAGACGCCTTGCAGAGAGCCCTTGAAGTTCATTAGAAGTAGATGGGGCCAATGTTGCAGTGCTTGGGTTAAACTGCTGCTGCTAATGTGGAAATTCCATATCAGGAGGCCAGGCTGCATCCCAACTGCTCATCTGCCCGTGCAGCTTCCAGATGACTTGGCTGGGAAAGGAGCAGGAGATGGCCGGAGTGCTTGGGTGTTTACATACTCCAGTGAGAGATCAGGATAAAGGCTTTGGCTTTCCTTGGCCCAACCCTGGCTGTTTGGCCATTGGGAAGTGAACTAGCAGATGGAAGGATCTCTCTCTCCACCCACCGCCTCCACCCTTGAATCTTTCCCTTTCTCCCTCCCTTCCCCTATCTATCCATTTCTTTTCTTTTTTTTTTTTTTTTTAAGATTTATTTATTTATTGGAAAGGCAGATATACAGAGGAGGAGAGGCAGAGAGGAAGATCTTCCGTCCGATGAATCACTCCCCAAGTGAGCCCAATGGCCAATGCTATGCCGATCCGAAGCCAGGATCCAGGAACCTCCTCCGGGCATCCCACAGGGTCCCAAAGCCTTGGGCCATCCTCGACTGCCCTCCCAGGCCACAAGCAGGGAGCTGGATGGGAAGTGGAGCCACCGGAATTAGAACCAGCACCTATATGGGATCCTGGGGTGTTCAAGGCGAGGACTTTAGCTGCTAGGCCACAACGCCTGGCCCTCCATTTCTAATACATAAATAAATAAACTTTTTTTTAAGGTAGGAACCAGGAGCCTCTTCCTGGTCTCTTACATGGTTGCTTTGGACCATCCGTGACTGCTTTCCCAGGCCACAGGCAGGGAGCTGAATGGGAAGCAGAGCTGCAGGGATTAGAACTGGCATCCATATGGGATCCCGGCGCATGCAAGGCAAGGACAGTAACCTAGTGGCTAAAGTTCTTGCCTTGCATGCGCCAGGATCCCATATGGGTACCAGTTTCTTTCCCGGCTGCTTCACTTCTCTTCCAGCTAGAGAACGGCTCAAAGCCTTAGGACCTTGTACCCACAGGGGAGACCTGAAGAAGCTCCTAGCTCCTGTCTGCTGGCTTCGTTTCGGTTTGCGTCTGGTCATTGTGGCCACTTGAGGGGTGAACAAGCAGATGTAAGAGCTTTGTCTTTCCTTCTCTGTAAATCTGCCTTTCCAATAACAAATAAATAAATCTTTAAAAAAAAAAGTAGATTGAGAAGCATTGCTGATATCTGTCAGAGTTCTAGATCAGGGTTTTATCTCTGAATAGAATACTAAGGGATTACTTGTGAAAGGTCTTCATATTTTCCTCTCATAGCGTGAAGTGTGAATGCTTACACATCCCATGTACAAAGGTAGGGGAAATACACTTTTTATAAATGGAAAAACAGAAGTTATTAAAGTTAATTTGTTTTTATTTGGGCAACTTTGTAGAAAGGATTTGCATTTTGTAGTTCTTAAATTTGATGGGCACAAAAACACTCCAGACATCATGCTATTCTGTTCATTTACATTTTGTTTTCACTTACTATTTTTGTTTTATTTGAAAAGTGGAGAGCTAGAGAAGAGAGCGAGAACTAGATAGAGCTCTCCCATCCTCGGGTTCAGTCCGCAAATGTCCTCAACACTGACAGGCAGGAGCCCCTCCATCCAGTTGTCTCGGCAGGGACTCGAGTACTTGAGTCATCGTGCTGCATCCCATGGTACATGGAAGTGGGAATCTAGATTGCAGGCAGAGGATGTTAGATTTGGATCAGGTGCTGCAGTGTTGGGTACTGGTTTCCCAATCAGCGGCATAGCCACTGAGCCATATGCTCACCCTTATTCTTTCTGTTTGCTTACATGTTTTTATTCTTGAGAGACAGGCATCAAGTGTTTTGCATCTGCTAGCTCACCCCTGAAGTTCCTGCAGTGAGCAGGGCTGGGCCAGCCTAAAGCCAGGAGCCAGCAACTCCACCCATGTCTCCTCCGTGAGCGGCAAGAATATGGGCACTTGGGTCATCGTCTGCTGCCTCCCAGATCGGTTAGCAGGAAGCCGGATTAGAAACAATTTGTGGCAGGGACTTAAATCAGGCACTGTGATGTACCATGTGGGCATCCCAAGCTGTGACTTAATCCATTGTACCATATCACCCACTGTTCCCCCCACCACCCTTTTTAAAATTTGCTTTAGGGAGCTGGCATTGGGCATAGAGGGTAAAGCCACCGCCTATTATGCCAGCATCCAGAATGTGTGCTAGTTTGTGTCTTAGTTGCTGTCCTTACAATCCAGCTACCTGCTATGGGCCTGGGAAAGCAGTGAAAGGTGGCCTGAGTGATTGGGCCGCTACACCCACAGGGGAGACACAGAAGAAACTCTTGGCTCTGGAATTCAGTCTGGCTGGGCCTTGGCTGTCATGGTCATTTAGAGTATAAACCAGCAGATAAACTATCTCTGTCCGTCTCTGTCTCTGTCTCTTTGTAACTCTGCCTTTTAAATAAAACATAAATCTTGAAAAAAAAAAGTTTACCTTGGGGTGAAAAATATATCAGAAACAATATTTTAGGTTTCTTTTATTTGAGACAAACAAAACCTTCGCATTTGCTGGTTCATCCCCCAAATGCCCATAGCTGGGAGTGGTATCGGGACAGGGCTGAAACATGATCAGTTTTAACTGAATCAGCTTAAAAAAAAAGTGTGATGGGTCAGTTAGGTGGTATTGTGGGTTAAGCCACTGCCTGTGACAAACATCCCATATTAGTGTTCAGGTTTGAGTTCCACCAGCTCTGCTCCAGTTACTTGTGACCCTGCTGTCCATGGGGAGGACCCAGATGAGATTCGAGAGTCCTGGCGTCAACCAGGCCAGCTTCCACACCTGTCTGGGGAGTAACCTGGGAGAGGGAAGAGTTCCATGTCATCCTACCTGTCTCTGACACACTGCCTTTCAAATAAATGAATTGCAATTTTTTTAAAAAGAATTTGGACAAAAACCATTTGAAAGTGACTTGTAGACATGATACTTTTCAGTGTCAATGTCTCTGTTTTAAAAGACAAAGTGTAACAGAGAGAGAGAGAGCGATATCTTCCCTTTTCTGGTTTATACTTAAAATGGCCAGAATGGCCAGGGCTGAGCCAGGCAGAAACCAGGAGCCTGGAGCTCCATCTGGGTCTCCCATGTGGGCGGCAGGGGTGCAAGCACTCATGCCATCTTCTACTGCTTTCCTGTATGCCTTAGGGGGAGCTGTATCAGAGACTACAAGTTCTCAAAAAGTTGTTTTCCATGTGGTCTGCACAGTGGCATCACAGGCTAACTCTAGGCTTGTGGTGCTGGCATCTCATATGAGGGCTGGTTCGAGTCCAAGCTGCTCTGCTCCCTGCTAATGGCCTGGGAAAGGTACAAAGGATGGTCTAAGGCCTTGGGTCCCTGCACCCAGGTGGGAGACTCAGAAGGACTTTGTCGCCCCCAGCTTTGGACCAGCCCAGCTCACCCTAGTAGCCGATTGGTGAGTGAACCATTGGATGGAAGATCTCTTTATAGCTCCCTCTCACTCTCTCTGTAACTTTGGCTTTCAAGTAAAATAAAAAAATATTTTAAAAAATTATCACGCAAGTTCCAGTCCAGGGTCATGCGCTGGGTTTAATTGTCATTTCTCCTCAATTTCCTTTGATTAGAGCAGTTGCCTAGCTTCCTTTGTGAGACCTTGACGTTTTTGAGACGTATAGGCCAGCTGTTTTCTGGTGTGGTTACTGATTTTGTCTTGTGTGTTTGTATTGTTTCTTCTTGTCTGTGCTTAGATTGTCCATTTTCATAGGAATGCCACAGAGGGAATGCACTGCCCGCGGTGTTCATCCAGGAAACACAGTATACTTTTTGTTTTGTTATGGGTGATATTTTTTTTTTGAAGATTTTGCTTATTTTATTTGAAAGACAGTGTTAGAGAGAGAATCTTGTTTACTCCCCAAATGGCCACAGTGGCTGGACTGGGCCAGGCTGAAGCCAGGAACTTCATCCAGGTCTCCCATGTTGGAACAGGAACCCAAGCACTTGGACCATATTCTGTTGCTTCCCCATGAGCATTACCAGGGAGCTGGATTAGAAGTAGAGAAGTTGGAGTTTGAACTGGCACTGGTAGGGGATGCTGGCATCACAGAGGACATTGAACCCATCATACCACAACACTGCCCTCAGAGTGATGTGATTTTGACTATTTGGTAATGGTGGACAATTGCAAAGGTGCTAGTTTTCCTGTTTTAACTGTTACATATGTTGAGGCATATGTTGACATGGTAAATATCACATGGCTGGCTGCTAATTTTAGTGTTTATTGATGATTTTGCCCAATTCAGTTATTCCTAGGGTGACGATCTAGTAGTATTCATATTTATCTTAGTATGGCTCTAAAGAAGAGATGCTGTGAGGAGGTAACCCTGCAGTAATTTGCCGTGGCAGGTTGGGGTCTGGGCAGAGCCTGGGCGTGCTGGTGGGCCTGCGGTCATGTGTGTGGTGCCCACTCAGTTGGCAGTGACCACTAGCATATCTTTTTAACTAATTGTTTTTGTGAGACTTGGTCTGTGATTTATCACAGAACTTGGATAACTAGATTTTACACATTTTCACTGTGAAGTTAAATACTCTGTGCCCCTTTTTGTACTGACTCTCTAGATTGGTTGAAGTTGTTTCACCCAACACAAGAACTAAAGTTGAGAAGGGATGGCTTGTTTGAAAGGATTATTTTTGAGGTCTTATTTTGGAATGTTGCTTGTCAGGATCCGGGGTGTTGGCACGGCAGCCGTAAATATGTGCCTCGTGGCGACTGGAGGAGCAGATGCGTATTACGAAATGGGAATTCACTGCTGGGACATGGCAGGAGCTGGCATCATTGTTACCGAAGCTGGTGGCGTGCTGATGGATGTAACAGGTAAAATCACAGAAGACTAAAAAAATCAAAAGGCGCTTTTTGTTTTCACTTCTGATGAACTTTTCTTTATCTTGTTTTGAAATGTTTGATATAAAAACAGGCAGTGTAATTTTTTGCAAAGTCAGAATAAGCATTGCGTGACAGGAGTGTAGTTAATGGCTAATAATTGACTGTCTCTGACTGAGTGTCAGGAAGCGCTGAGAAGTTGCAGAAGGCTGGCCAGGCAGAGTCTGAGGCCTGTAAGGAGAGCTCCTTGGCTCATGCTGGGGGAGACTGCCAGTGGATTCCTCCACCAGCACTTTCCACTTTCAGCTTAGAAATGATGAATACTTGCTTTGAGTTGATGCTGAATTTTTAAATTTGAAATAATTCAGCAGTGATCTGGTGGAAAGGCCACAAGTTAAGGCTGGAAGGAGAGTGGTGCAAAACTTGACATAAAAACAGGCTGGATTTAAACTGGAGTTAAATTTCTTCTATAGAAGCCAAGCAATAAATAGGTAATGAAGTTGCACAAAAAAAAGAAACTGGAAAACCCTTGGGAGACCGGGACCTACAATTTTTCAAATTAGTTTTAGCTTAGATCTGTTCTTCCACCTCTACACTAGCATCTTGGTTGGTTTACTTAAAAGGGGATGCCCAGGGGCTAGTGCTGTGGCACAGTTAGTGCCAGCATCCCGTATGAGTGCTGGTTCAAGTCTCTGATGCTTTGCTTCCAATCCAGTCCCCTGCTAATGTGATTGGGAAAGCAGCAGGTGGTGACCCAAGTGTTTGGGACCCTGCTACCCACAGGGGAGACCCTGGTGGTGTTTTGGGCTCCCGGCATTGCTTGACGCATCCTCAGCTATGGTGGCCATTTGGGGAATGAACCAGCAAATCGAAGATCTTTCTCTGTCCCTCTTTTTCTCTTTGTGTCTCTTTCAAATATATGAACAAATCATTTAAAATATGCTTAAAGGTGGACATTTTGCCTAAAAGTATGCTGGTTAGGTTGCCTGCAAATTGCATTGCACTGCCTGGCTCTATCTCCCAGTTCTTTCTTCCTGCTAACGGGCACCCTGGGAGGCAGCAGTGGTGGCTCAAGTCACTGCCTTCCTGGTGCCCGCGTGGGAGGCCTGCATGGAGAGCCTGGCTCTTGGTCTCTGTCTTGCTACTCTGGGCAGACAGATGGGAAATCTGTGTCTACCTCTGTCTCTTTCTCTGCTTCTCAATCTTTTTTTTAAAGATGCTTAGAAATCACTTACCTGCAGCTAGGGCTTAAACATTGTGATGATGTGACAGTGGATTTTTTTGAGGAGTACTGAAGACTGGGTACGGCAGTCCAGTCGCCACTCGGGATATCTGCATTCCCTAGGAGTGTGTAGCTGAGAGCCAAGGCTCGATGCTCTAATGAACGCCTTATGAAGCCACGAATAACGGCGTAAGTGCTAAGGTCCAAGTTCTTCACTTCTGGCTTCAGCATGGCCCAGTTCCAAGTCCTGTTGGCATTTGGGGAGTGAACCAGGGAATGGAAGATTCTCTCTCTCTCTATCCCCCTTTCCCTCTTCCTCCCCCTCACTCTCCTTCCTCCTCTCTTTCTCCCCGCTCCTTCTCTCTCCCCTTCTCCTTCTCCCCTCTTCACTTTCTACCTTTCTCTCTTTCTCTGCCTCCTTCATTCCCTTTGTCTTTCAAATAAAACATGAAAATATATGTTAAGAAAATGTTTGGATTGGCTGCATTCTGGATTATTTTTCTGCGGGATATAATCATTTTTTGTATTTGATTTGATTTTAGGAGGACCATTTGATTTGATGTCACGAAGAATAATTGCAGCAAGCACCAGAACATTAGCAGAAAGGATCGCCAAAGAAATACAGATCGTTCCTTTCCAGAGGGACGATGAGGATTAGTGACGGTAGCTCACAGTCACAGCCACTTCCCCCCAGATTTGTTCATGCACTGATGGACATCTGTTTCAGACGTGGGGTACTGATCTAAATTTTCTTTGGTATCCAGGTTAAAAAATTGGCAATTGCTCCATAGACTAAGACTGGAATATGTAAGAGTAGTACCCATGTTTGCTTCACTGTTTTAAAAAATGTTGCATGTTAAGAATGCACTTTAGGACAAATACAAAAGCAGTAAACTGTTCATGAGATAGCTGTATCACAAACTAAGCTGGTCAGAAGTGTGCATTGATATGTGTGTTTTGGGCAGATGTGTTCCTCAGGAAAACATGAGCCTCAGAAATATTTATCTACAAGAACCCTCCATCAGAACATCTGCTTTGTGGAGACAGTTTTCCCTTTGATTTTTCAGGCCATCTTTAAATATGTGTAAAGATGTAACAGGGACGCCCTTGCTGTGAATCAGTGTGCCCAGAGAACCTGGCATAGTAACTGCCAGACCGTAGATGGTCCAAAATGGACTCAGCATTCTGTATGCTTCAGGTCCTAAAGTAACAATTGACCTAGTTTTCCTTTTTATATTTCACATTACCATCCGTGCTGCCAGGTGGTATCACCAATTGTAGACATTTTTGTAGTTAATACTTATTACTGTTTTCTAAATCACCTCATTACGGGATGTTTGGATTCCCTTAAATGTCCAAATCCTCGGGTCAGAAAAGAAACCGTTGCCCAGAAGCACTCGCTCAGGTACCTGTTGTAATTAGGTGCGGCCTGACCTTTCCCGAGTTGAGTACTCACCCTGCTGTGGTTGAGCTGGCAGATACATGGTGTGTTTTCTTGATCTTTCCTTGTTTAACTTCCTTGCTGCTGGGTCCTGCGAAGCCTTTCAGCATTTCCTCATAGTCCTTGGCCTGTGAAACTCAAGAAGAAAATTGTACTGGTTCATAGACATTTCTAAAAGATTAATGCATTGTTTAGCTTTGTCCCTTGACTTGTGAACAGGTTTTTAAATTCTGTTGTGGGTGTATGAGCCTTGCAATGGATAAGATGAAAAATGCCTCTTTGTAGTATTCAAGATAGGGAGGTTATTTTATTGTTGTATATACTTAGTATGTTAAGTATATATGATACCAAGATGTAGGTGTTATAAATAATGTCTGTACCTAAACTGTTGGTCACTTTTACTTTAAAAATCTCATACTGTATTCCAAGTTCAGGTGTTTTTTTGCGGTTAAATCTGTTTTAATGCTATCACGAATAAAAGTTTAAATAAAAAGTGTAGTCGATACATTACTGAAGTACTAAAGTTTATACTTTAAATTACTTTTAGGGGTTTTTGTGTTGAATTACATATTTGAAATACAATGATGATGTAGTGGTGATTGATTGTATATTTTGGTTTGCTGTGACTTTCCGAAAGGCCTTACCATTTTTCCCATAGGTAGCTCTGCAGCTCCAGTGTAAATGTGCTTGGGTGTCATAACTTTTTCACTTAACTGTTTATCTGAAAACTTACTATTACAAGTGATGACCCCCTGAGTTATCTCTCCCTCTTTTTAGCATAGTGATTTATACAGTTTTTGCTAAATTAATTACTCGTTGTAGAATGTAGGACGTCTTTTCCCTAGTTATTTAACAAGCATTGTATTAAAATTTCTTTTCTGTGCAAGTTTTTTCTCTTCCTATAATTAACAGGTTCCTCACAGGATTGCAAAATTTTGTCTTTAATATATATATTATTATTATTTTTTAAGATACATAGAGAGAAGGAGATTCAGAAAAATCTTCCATCCATTGATTGACTCCCCAAGTGGCTGCATCAGCCAGAGTTGAGCTGATCCGAAGCCAGGAGCGAGGAGCTTCTTCCAGGTCTCCCATGTGTGTGCAGTGTTCCAAGACTTTGGCTTGTCCTCTGCTGCTTTTCCAAGCCACAGGCAGGGAGCTGGATGGGAAATGGAGCAGCTGGAATTGGAACAGGTACCCATATGGGATCCTGGTGTATTCAGGGTGAAGACTCCAGCCACTAGGCTACCGTTCTAGGTCCATATTTTTATTTTTAAAGATTGAGTTACAGGCCCGGCGCGATGGCGCAGTGGTTAAGGTCCTCACCTTGCATGGCCGGGATCCCATATGGGCGCCGGTTCTAATCCCGGCAGCCCCGCTTCCCTTCCAGCTCCCTGCCTGTGGCCTGGGAAAGCAGTCAAGGACAGCCCAAGGCTTTGGGACTCTGCATCCACGTGGGAGACCCGGAAGAGGCTCCTGGCTTCAGTTTGGCATAGCATTGGCTGTTGCGCTCACTTAGGGAGTGAATCATCGGACGGAAGATCATCCTCTCTGTCTCTCCTCTCTGTATATCCGCCTTTCCAATAAAAAAAAAAAAAAAAAGATTGACTTACTTATTTGAAAATAAGGCTTTAGCAGAGAGGTAGAAGTGATATTTCATCCAGTGGTTCATCCCCACCTGGTTATAATATTCAGGGCTAAACCTGGTTAAAGCCAGGAACAGGGAGCTTCTTGGGGTCCTCCGCATGAGTGTAGGAGCCCAAGGGCTTGTGCTCTTGTGCTGCTGTCTGCTGCTCTCCTGGGACGTTAGCATGGAGCTGGATGAGAAGTGGGACAGTCAGGACATGAATTGCTCTCATCTGGAGGTCGGCATTGCCGGCAGCAGCTTTACTGGTGTGCCACAATGCTGGCCTCAAAAGTTTGTCAATTTCCATTTGCTTACTGAAATAATTTTCTTCTGTTATGACTATTTTCTTTTTCTTCTGGAAGCAGATCTTTGGGGACTCTGTTCCCTACTTCTGTCTTTGTTTTTTTTTTTAAGATTTATTTATTTATTATAAAGTCATATACAGAGAGGAGGAGAGACAGAGAGGAAGATCTTCCATCTGATGGTTCACTCCCCAAGTGAGCGCAACGGTCAATGCTATGCTGATCTGAAGCCAGGAGCCAGGAACTTCTTCTGGGTATTCCACACAGATGCAGAGTCCCAAAGCAGGGAGCTGGATGGGAAGTGGAGCTGCCGGTATTAGAACCAGCATATGGGAACCCGGTGTGTTCAAGATGAGGACTTTAGCCGCTAGGGCACACCGCTGGGCCCCCCCTTCTGCTGTCTTAACTGGCTGCTGACCCGGTGTGCTGCCTGTTCCTTCAGGGTTTCCCTTTTTGTTATTTATTTATTTATTTTAGGTATTTAATATCTGAAAGGCAAAGTTAAGAGAGACATGCTTTTATCCCATGGTTTACTCCCCAGAATTCTGCAATGGCTAAGGCTGGGCCAGGCCAAAGCCGGGAGCCTGTACTATGTACATGTGTCCCATGTGGGTGGCAGGGGCCCAAGGTCTTGGCCACCTTCCCTGCCTTCCTAGGGACACTAACAGGGACTTGGATTGGAAATGTAGCATCAGGCGCTTAAACTGATGTTCATTTGGGATGTTAGCACTGCAGGTTGCAACTTGGCTTGCTGTGCCACAATGCTGGCTCCCACTTTAATGTTAAATCTTCTATATGTCCTGGCTGTTTTTTGCCTTTTTGGTGAGCCCAACTGTGCACAGGTGTTCTGGAGGCAAAACTGAGATCTGCCTGGGCAGAAAATGTCCATTGCTTCTTGTCTGATTGATAGTTTCGGTAGGGCTAGAATTTGTGGTTGATATTTTTTCCCTCGGAAATTCTTGTAATTGCTTTGTGCTCTTAGCTTCACTGTTGCTGAAATGCAGTGATTTCTGTTGGTCAGCATGTTGTTTGGGACTCTTCTCTTTCTGCAGTTTTCTATGATAAGCATTAATTCGTGTACTCTGATTCTGGAGAGACCTCAAGTTTTTAGTGCTTTGCTTCTTTTGATAATTTCCTCTCTTCCTTATTATATTCTCTACCTGGAAATGCTGTCGTATGTATTGAATCTCCTACAGTGAGCAACTTACTTTCTCTGTTAAACATTTCTTTGCATTAGCTTTTTAGTGATTTCCACAACTTTATCTTCCAATAGTTAACCCTTTTTTAAGCATTCCCTTTTCATTTCATTCATTATATTTTATTTGTTGGGATAATTATTTTTAGCTCTTTGTAAAAAAAAATTATCTAAAAGTTACAGAGAGGGAGAAATGGGGGTGGCCGGGGGCGGGGGGAGGCAGCACATTGAGAAAGAGAGAGAGAGATAGAGAGAGAGAGAGAGTGCATTTCCATCCACAGGTTCACTTACCAAATGGTAGGGACTGAGCCAGGCTGACACCAGGAGCCAAGAGTTGGTTACCCATCATCCACTCATTCACTGGGAATGTTGTGAGTTCCTGTCTTCTGACTTTAGTTTTCCTGGGTGTTGTAGGCATTTAGGGATTGAACCAAAGAAAGGAGCTCTCTCTATTCCTAAAAAACAAACAAACAAACAAACCAAAAACAAAAACAGAAAGCTACTAGATAGCTTGTCAGAATGCTAATGAAAGATGTGGACAAAGTCTCCGGAAAAGCTAACATCACCAGAGTTGGTGGTTGGTGTGGCATAGTGAGTGAGGTGCCATCTACTATGCAAGTATACCATATGAACATCGGTTCTAGTTCCAGGTGTTCCACTTCCAATCTGGCTGCTATCTAATACATCTGGAAAAGCAGTGGAAGATTGCCCCAGCACCCACCTAAAAGACCCGGATGCTGCTCCTGGCTCCTGTTGTAGATCTGGTCCAGCCCTGGCTGCTGAGCTCACTCAGGGAGTGAACTAGTGGATGCAGGATAGATCTCTCTCCATCTCTGATTTCGTAATTTTGCCTTTCAGATAAATAAATCAGAATAACAGTACTGACAGATTCTATTTTGACTGAAATGATAGCAATTGTTCAGCTGTCATTTCTTGCCCAGTTGACCTGTAGATCCACTACAATCCTAATTAAAATCCCAGTAATTTGAGGTGAGGAGTATGATAGTGTAGGAGGACTGATGGCTTATATAGCAATTTGGAGAGCCAAAGAAAGTGTGAATTGTGAAGCAGAGGAACAAAGCCAGAAGACCGCACACCAGGGTTCAAGCCTTGGTACTGAGCTCTGGGTTTCAAGCAGTGACATCAGCACAGATCTGGACAAATACACTCAACCATACACAGCTATCTAGTTTCTGATAATAATATATTTGTAGTACAGTAAGAAAAAGGGTCTTTTCAATAAATGCTAAGGAATCGATGGAAAAAAAAAGAATGCTGATCCCATTTTATTGTGCACAAAAATGAATTCTGTCAGACGTAGTCCAGATCTGGACAGAAAAGGTGAAACAGTACTAGAAGAGAGCAGTATGTCTTCCTGAATTTATTAGGTATAAAACTTGGTAAGCAAAACATATGAAAGTACTATTCCTAAGGCAGGATTGATGAATTGGGCTACATTGATCATTCTGTCATCAAAATACACCCATGAAAGAGGCAGAAGGACAGCCCACAAGGAGGACAGTGCAAATATCAAGTTCTTTTGAAAATATACATTACTCCTAGATGTCAATAAAAGGGCAATGCAGTTAATAAGTTGAATATGTACTTTACAAATATATTCAAACACAAGCAAACATAAATGCTCAATCATTTAAGAAACATAAACCAATGATATTATACCATCTACCTAAGTGGTGAAATTAAAACAAAAATCCAATAACAAAAACAAGCCAATCAACTCCCTAGTGACCCCAGGCATCCTAAGGCAGGTGCTGGGCCTTGATTTCATGTACGTTTTGGCAAGGTTGGCATCAGTATAACCATATTCAGAGGCTGGTAGCATCTCTTAACACTTGCACCTGTTACCAGCAACTGCAATTACTGGTATATTCCAAATGCCCATACATGTACTGGGATGTATAAAGTTTGTGAGAAGTGAACTTAGAACATAGTTTTTGTTGTTGAGAGGATTTTGAAATTCATGCCTAGTGTTTTCCATATCACAAAATTTCCCATGAAGTTTTTGAACTACTCATTATGCATGTTTCACAAAATGCATATTTTAATGGATTATATAATTACTGCGATAGACCTAAACAGAGAACAAGCGTGCCAACACAGTGGCAGTCTGTGATACAGTCCTGCACTAAGTGCTGAATAGCGAGGACAGGGCGTGGACTGCAGCCTATGCAAGATCATGTGGTTGATTTCCAGGCAGATGGCCTGTTCTTACCTCTCCAAGGGTCCTGCTCACTCACAGGTGTCAGGGATATTCTAATTTGTGGAAGACCAGTCTCTTCTGCCTTTAGTTACTCCGTCTCTACGGCTCTTCTTTGCTCGTCTGTTTTCTAAAATGATGCTTGACATTTTC